AAAGCAAGATAAAGTCTTGAAAGAAGTTGGAGGAAAAAAACACCTTTTCGAGGAGCAAAGAATGACTTCCAAAGTCTCCTCAGACACCATGTGAGCGGGAAGACAGCAGGGTGAATACTCAAAAGTGCTGAGAGAAAAAAACCCACCAACCTAGATTTCTCCACCCTGTGAAATTGTCTTTCAAAAGTGAAGGAGAAACAAAGACTTTCTCGAACTAAAACTGAGGGGACTGGCCAGCAGACCCGCCTCACAAGAAAGGTTAAAAGAAGTTCTTCTCAGAGAAGTAACGCGGGCCAAAAACTCAGATCCACATAAAGGAAGGAGTAAGTGAAGGAAAAGTAAAAACTTGCTTTTCTTATTCTTACTTGATCAGCAGTTCATTCAAAATAACAGGCACGACGTCAGTCAATGATCACGACTTGCAGGTAAGGAAGTGCGTGGCAGCAGGGACCGAGGCACGGTGGGGGCGGGGGGGTAGGATTCAGGACCACCACGTGACCAGAAGACACTCCTACCACCTGGGAGCTGACACGCTGTTATCTGAAAGAAGTGGATTAGTTGTAAACAGACTGCAGGCTGGAGGGCAGCAACGAAAACCAGTGAAAAAGCAGTTTAGACGATACGCTACAAAAGGAGAGAGAAAGGAATCCTATAAAATGCTCAATTAAAACCATGCAAGGCAGAAAAAGAGGGGAAGACAAAAACAGGACAAAGACCAAGGGCAACAAACAGAGAAGAGTCACGGGTGTGGTCGACATTAGTCCAACAGTATCAGTCATCACTGTGACCGTCAATGGTCCAAACGCACCTATGGAAAGACCGACTGTCAGAGTGGATCAAAGACACAGTTCAACTGTATGCAGTCTACGAGAAACCCACTTTAAATACAGGCCCATTTAGCTTAAAAGTAAATGGATAAAGGAAAATATGCCATGTTAACGCTAATCAAAAGTGGGAGTTGCTTTATTAATTTCAGACACAGCAACTTTAGAACGAAGGAAGTTACCAGGGATAAAGAACGGTATTACATAATAACAAGAGGGTCAATCCTTCAAGAAGATGTAACAATCCTTAACATATATGCACCTAACAACAGAGCATCAGTTACATGAGGCAAAGGGTGACAGAACTGCAAGGAGAAACAGATGAACCCACCATTACAGCTGGGGGCTTCAACACCGGCCTCAGGAAAGGACAGGTCCAGGAGGCAGAAATCAGGAAGGACACAATCGAACTCAACACCACCATCCACCAACGGGACATAATGCGCATCTACAGACCACTTCATCCAACAACCGCAAGATACACATGCCTCTCAAGCTCACATGCGGCACTCACCAAGACAGACCATGTTCTCGGCCATAAACATACCTCAACAAATTTAAAGGAATAGAAACCACACAACGTCTGCTCTCAGACCACAGGAGAATGAAACCAGTAACTGAAAGGTAATTGGAAAATCCCTAAATACTTGGAGATTAAACACCACACTCCTAAATAACACATGGATCAAAGAAGAAGTCTCAGGAGAAATTTAAAAATATTTGGAACTAAATAAAAATCAAAATACAACTTAATCAAAACGTGTGAGATGCAGCAAAAGCAGTATTCAGAGGAAAATTTACAACATCAGATGCATATGTTATAAAAGAAAAAAGATCTAAATGAATAACCTTAGGAAATCTGAAAAAGGAAAACATATTATAAATCCAAAGCAAACAAAAATAAAATATAATAAAAATCAGAGCAGAAATCAATGAAATAGAAAAAAAAAAATCAATGAGACCAAAAGTTGACTCTTCGAGAAAAATCAGTACAGATCCATAGACGTTGAAAGGATAATAAACAAATACTACGAAGAACTCGATGCCCATACATTTGGTAACTTGGCTGAAATGGACCTGTTCCTTAAAAGACACAACGTGAAGAGGCCTATATCTATTAAAAAAAAATTGAGTCAATAATTAATAACCTTTCAAAAGAGAAAACACCAGACCCAGATGGGTTCACTAGTGAATTCTAGCAAATATTTAAGGAAGAAATTATACTAATTCTCTACAATCTCTTTCAGAGGACAGAAGCATGCTCCTCGGCCCGGCCTCCACGTTCACAAGTTTCCAGGTACCTCCATCCACGGTCTTGTCACGGACACCAGGCACATCACCCGTATCCTCTGCCGCCCCACGCCTATGATGCCCTTGAACTAACTTTCTAGCCATTCCTGCTGGGCCTACAACTGGAATGTTCTTTACACACAGCCAGCCTCAGCCCATCTACCTGTTGCACCCACCGCCCCCCCCCAAGCTCTGGGACAGTGCCTGGCATTCAGGAGGCACTCAGTCGTCACCAACAAATAAGTGACCACTCCATCTGGCTCTGGTCTGCTGCGGCCACCCTCCGGGCCTTCCCAATGCTTCAGATCTACTTCCTGAGCACAGGCTCTAGCGCCAGTCTTCCTGCTGGACCTTCCACTGTGGCCAGTCAGGACCACCCCCAGGGCTGCTGCAACAGTTCAGCGAGCAGGTGCAGGTGCCTCCGGGCTCTAGAAGCCATGCGCACTAGCATCACTGAATCTCGTCACTGCCGTGGGATTTTAGGAGGAAAGCAAGACATGCATGTGCCCTTCCGAACGGGACGATCATACGCTTCATCTTCTTGAAAAGCTACAGGATGGACAACAATGGTGCAAATCTACCCCATCACCGAGCACTCCTATGGGGACTTGTCCTTGCGTCTCCCCGTTCCCTCTCTGCTCACCCACCCTTCCCGGGAAGCGTAGCAAGAGGGGGTACCCAGTCAGCCTGCCATTTCTCCAGCGCGGCTCTGCCATCGGGTGCTCTGTGCCCCACAGTGCCTGAGATCACCCATGCCCCTGTGGAGACCCCCAAGGGAGCGGAGGCGGGTGGGGGCTCTGGGCGGTGCCAGTGGTTGCCCTTGACCAGGGCCCCACTTCCCGAGGGCGCACGGCCACGTGGGGACGGCTCCTGGGCTGCTGAACACCGCCACTCTGCTCCGGGGGCACGTCCCCTGGTGTTTCCAGAAGAAATGAAACTGCAGAGCAGATGGGTTCATCACCGCAGCTTCTAGATGAACTACCGACGTGAAGGTGGAAGGCAGACAACAGAGAACACGGGGAAGGAAAGCCTCCCTGACCTGGGAGGAAAGTTATCTTCGACAGAACACCACACACCAGAAAGGGCCGTGGACGGGCCTACACAAAAGCCAGGAGAATGTGCTCATCGAGGCCCCCTCGAAGAAGAAAAGGCCAATGGAAGAAAACACGCATGACCCACGTACCTGACGGAGGACACGTAACCAGGAATGCACACGTAGCTCCAATAATGAATAAGAACCTGAACACGAGCTTCACCAAAGCAGACAACCAAAAGGCAGAAAAAACCAAGGGCCACACCATCCACACCTGCTAGGTGGCCATCAGGACATGGAGAAGGTCCGCCAGGCCCAAGCGCCACGTTGGCCGGGGGTGGCTGGGGCGCTCGTACAGGGCAGCACCTTATTCACTAAAGCCAAGCTCCAAACACCCTACAGTCCAGAAGCCCACACCTGGATGTAGCACCCGACGTGCCCGGAAACGCGCCCAAGCACCTACCAGAACGTTCATAAAGGCAGTGCTCCCGTGACATGAGAAAGCCCGTGGAGAGACCCGCTGGGGAGAACTCGTCCACAGACGAAAGCCACACAGCAAGGGCTCCCTGTGCACAGAGCCAAGAGTGCTCAGGCCCGGTGGGGCGGGGAGACCCTCTGCCCTCTGGTCCCAGCTGCACTTGCTGTGACACCTCCCCGAGCTGCACGCTTGGCACCCAGGCGCTCTTCCCCCCACACACATAAAGGGTTTTGACAGACAAGTTTCTTAGGAAGGAGACGGTTATCCTCAGTGACCTGACCTCCGACGGGCCCTGGGAGGCTGCCCAGAGCAAGGGCAATCCTGGTGCCCGCAGGTGGGCCGAGGGGGTTCCTGCTGCTGGGGGTGGAAAACGCAGGCCCCCAGAGAACAAAGTTCCCGTGGAAGGTCAGACATGTCGAGGCCAGCTGACCCAGACACCAGGTGGGCTGGGGGCCGGGCGGCATGGCATTAGGCATTACTGCCCCGCCCACAGGCCTGAAAACCAGGAGGCTCATCATCACTTACCTCTCACAGCAGCGGGGGGTGGGGGGCCTGGGCCTCTGCGCCCCATTCCCAGGCCCAAACTAAACGGCCCGCTACGTGGACCCCGGCAGGTGCGTGTGGGGGCACCCCCGGGGGTCACAGGACGTGGGCCGGAGGGGAATGTGCTACAGCGAGTGAAGCCCGCACCACACTCAGGCTGAGACCTGAGACGTCTCTCCCCAAAGAGAAGCACACACACAAGGACCATCAGCCAGTGCAGCTTCTTTATCACCTCATGTCGGCTGTGGCTCGTGGCCTGGGACCAACCCGACAGTCCCTACCCAGCAGGCTGACCCCACAGGCTGAGCGTCCGCAACGTCCCTTCCTTCCTGGAAAGCAAGAAACCTCGCTCACGCACCTCACACACCAGCTTCAGAAGGCGCCACACGCAGCCGGAAGAGTGTCCGTCTGGAAAGCAGTTTATTCTCCCTGGCCTCAATGCAACCCCTTTCCCATTTTAGTATATTTTTACTCCACATTAGAGAACTTTCAATTACCAGTAAGCATGATAATTTGATTTCCTAACTACTAGATTCGTAAACTCAAAAAAATTCTTTCCTCCCAAACACCAGGTATCCTAAGGCCAGCCAAACGTGAGACAGTGGGGAGACGTGTTTCCCAATTCTCTTCCTGAAAAAGCAGGCCCCACTTTAATCTCAGGTCACACAAGGAGTCCAGCCTCCGCGGTGTGGATGGAATGCCACACACGGATCCATCCCTGGCCCCAAGGATGCCTCTTCGGGCAGAAAATAACTATAGAAAGAAAAGTGAAGCCACGGGGAAAAGAGGCCACCAGCTCCACCTGGTGGAGGACGCAGGGCTCGCGCCATGGTCACTTTCCACAGAGTTCCAGCACCTTCTTCACCATGGCCCCGATCCCGTCGTGGATGTGGTGAAGCTCCGTCTCACACATGAAGGCCGGGGTCGTGACCACCTTGTTTTTCTGGTCCACGTGAGCTTCGTGCACGGAAGTTATGGGAAAACGTCACCCAGCAAGGACCAGAGGATTGCAGGCGTGAAGCATCCACCCCAGCCCCCGCCCCAGGCCCCTTCTCAAGGCAGCTCTCAACAGGGCTTCCTCCTGCTGCAGTCTCTGCCCACGGGGCCCCGTCCCGTACTGCCTGCGCTCACGACTGGAGGATGCAGTCCACCCAACCTCAGCGAGCAGAGTGCTGGCTTCACAAGACGCCTCAGGGCGGCCCAGCCCACAGGACCCAGACGCACCCACAGACCTGGGCTGCACACACACAAGCGCCAGCCTGGGCCCCACAGCAACCCTGGAGCGGGCAAAAGCAGCTCTGTTCTTCCGATCAAGAAAGTAAACCAGAGAGCTCGTCCACGGCAAGAGGCCAGCCCAACCTGGGACCCTCCCTCTACACAAGCTGCGCCCCTGTCCTGGTCACCCAGACCCCAGGCAGTGACAGGCCTGGCCCCGCTGGCCACTCTGCGCGGGAGGGAGATGGAACCCTTCACCCGAAACCGTGTGCAAGAAGAGAGAGGCACCTTCGAGGCAGACACCCAGAGTGTCCTGGTGTTGTCTCCCACACCCTCTGCTCCTCACCTCTGGCCCACGTGGAGAGTCTGCGTCCAGCTGTGGACCTGGAATGTGGTCGGCCTATGGCCCGAGGCTCTGTGCGCAGAGCACTCGGGCACCCACGGGACGATCAGGGGCCAACAAGGCCACCGGGGATGGCTACCCATCCACACGGCCCAGGGGCTTCCAGCCAAGCCATCCCCCGCCCCAACCATACTTCTTCCCTCTGCAGCTTCCCCCACCCTGGGGCGCGTGCTCCCTCCCCTCCTGGCCAGAAACTCATCCCCATCGAGCCTGAAGCCGTCGGGCCGTCGGCTTGCCGGACGAGGCAGCCCAGCAGAGCTCCAGGCCTGGGGTGTGCCGCACACAGCAAGCATCCACCGGGCCAACTCGGAAACACGGCCTGGGGACCGGTACGTCATGGCATTGGGTGCCACGCCCATCCCGCACCCGCTCCCAGAGGCCCCCGGCTGCGCAGTCCTGGTTCAAGAGGCTGCCTGCCCGGGGCAGTCCCCAAGGGTCAGAGGAGGGGTCCCCAGCACCACATGCCACTGCCACGCTGGCTGCCGGAAAGGATATGGTCACTCCCTTCACACAGTGCTTGGCGCCCAAGGCTTTGATAGCTTCCGCAGTCCCTGCGTAGGGCCACTTGCCGCCTTCTTCCTGCTCGTGGCCCACGGTGACCTCGACGCCATGGAGCACTCTGGCTGCCAGGACGGGAGCGATGCAGCACAAGCTGAAAAGTGAGGGACAGGGTCGGCACGTGGGTCAGCTCAGAGAGCACGTGTGGCCGCCGGGCCCGGGGCGCAGCAGTGAATACTGAAGGAACAGAATTGACCTTGAGGATGAGAACAAATGGTATCCACTGAGCCCACAGAGCGAGGAGTGAGCCTCAGCTCGCTCCCCGCATGTGCTGCAGGCTCTGGGCACCCGGGGATCAGGCCTGGCCACGGAGTAGGGGGCCAGAGGGCACCGGGCCACCCGCCATGCTGTGTACAGGGATGGGCTCGGATGGCAACAGTGGACTTAGGCCTGAGTTTCAGGGTGGCTTTTCACACAGCAACAGCTAACCCCAGGGCACTGACTTCTCTGGAGAGAGTACAAGAGTGGTCTCATAGGACCCATGGGTGTGCTGGGCACCACAGGAGCGAAGGGCCCCTCCCAGGAGAGCACCAAGCCCCACTACACCTACACAGGCCATTCCCAAGGTGCCTGAGCCTCGCGGTTCGGTCCTGGGGCGCGTGCGGGGCTGTGTGGCCGGCGCTTGCCCTCGGGGCTCCTATGAGGCTCTGCTCCCGCCAGGAGGCCCTGCTGACCGGCAGCACCAGAGCCTGCACCGGGACCCCGCCCACGGCAGGCAGTGCGCGCTCGGGGGACGCGTGTGGCACCACCACACAGCTGCAGCCGGGCCTCCCTGCCCTCCCCCGGGGGGCACACACGCTGCCAGTGGCCCTCTGCCCTGGCTCATCTCCAGCACGGCCTGCCTGCTTCTCCCATGCCCACTGGAACGGCTCTGCGGACACACCGCTCCAACGGGCCACGAGAAAGTAATGTCGGGACACGCTTAGGCTCTCTTCCAAACTTCACAACACCCAAAACGACGGGCTCAGAAACCCGTGGGAGAAAATTTTCCTCTGCCACCAAGTAGGTAAAAAGTGATTGAACCCAGTGTCTCTGAAGTGCCCCGCGTCACAAGCCCACAGACACCTGGCAGCCAGCACGGGACGCATGTGAACGGCGCTGCGGCCATTGGCCCTGCTCTCGAGTCGCAGACGTAGGCCCGAGCTCAGGGGACACACGAGCAAGGCGGCACAGCCACCAGACCCCTCGCTCCCACCTGTGCTTCCGACACAGGGTCCTCCTTGGCGCCCACCCACATAAATGGGTGTTGCTCCAGAGACAGCGCCCAGCAAGGGGAGAGGCCGGTGGCGGCGCTGTGACCCACTCCCTGGGCAGCTCGGCTCTTCCGAGCAGGGGCGCTCCCAGCCGGTGCAGCCGAGGCCGGCGCCTTCCGTGAGGAGGGGACTCCCGCACAGTGACCGGGCACGACCTCTGGTGAGTGACCTTCGCAGGAGCCGTCCTAACACGACCCTGCTCACACAGCTGTCAGGAGGCCGGCGTGCTCCCACGTCCGCACCCCACCGTCTCCAGTGTGTCGGGCAGAGCAGAGCTCCTGAGGGGGCTTCTCGAACCAGCAGGCCCAAGCCGAGCCATCTACACGCTGCAGTGCATTCACGGGGACGAGCAACCCACGCGTTAGCACGGGAGCATGGACGACCACTGGGAGGTCGGTGCAGGCCGCAGGTGACGAGCTTGGGTCTGGTGAGTTGAGGCCGTGCCGCTGCGTCCGGGCGCGCAGGGAGCATGCCGCCCCAGGGGGGCAGCGGGAACGGCGCTGAGGGCCAACTGGCGCCAGCCCACCCCAAGCGAGGACGGGCGGGCAGATGCCAGGCAAGGGGAAGGGGTGCTGGAAAAGGCTGGGGTCAGGGGAGGACTGACTGGGGAGCCTTCTGGAAGCTCTCCTTCCTGTTAAGTCACCAGGACAAATTACCGGGACCACAGAGTTTTCCAAGCTGGAAGGTACCTGTGACGGCGCGTGAAGCCCGAGTGAAAACAGCCTTAAGCCCACGCCGCCTCCCCTCCACATACCCGATGGGCTTGCCGGCCTTGTGGAACTCCTTCAGGACTCGCTCCACGTCCTCATGGACTTTGCAGTCTTTCCCGTCAACGGCAAACGTGCTCCTACCACAAGAAGAGGCATCCTCAGATCTCGCAGCTGGGGGTCTATGTGCCTGGGGAGCCTCCAACGCCACCCTGGACACGTACCCATGGCTCCGCTAACTCCCCAGCACCTGAGACAAGCAGTTAACGTGCATGTGCGTGGTTTTTCACATAATTACATATATAATTTTTTCTACTTTTTAAAGCAGAAAGCAGCAAGCACAGCAGGAAAGGGGGTAGCAGAGAGGTGAGGTGGGGAAGCCGATCCCCGAGAGAACCAAAGCCAGCAGATGCGCAGGCAGTGGGCCACACCCAAGGGGTCCTCAGAGGTCTGCTCCATAAGCTATGGGGCAGCAAGACACGCCACGGGCCTAAAAGCCGTGACAGGCAATCCACGGGGAAGGAAGAGATGCGGTTAGATGAGACGCTGCTTCCCTCAGCACAACGAGGACAGCTCAGGGGTCTGGACGGCCTCCCCTCCCACCGGCTACACGCCGGCACCTCCCTGGGAGGCAACCCCAAAGTACACGCGCTTTATCCAGAGCCCCACTCTGGCTCTGCTCTGGGCACGTGTGGACGCCTCCGTCCTGGGCCGACTACTGCAGTGTCGCGGGCACAGGCCTGGGAGACACGTGGGCGCCGTGGAGCTCTGCCATCCTGCGGTGCTGTCTCAGGGTGTGCCCGCACGGCCAAACGTATCACAGTTCATCCTCTAGATACAAGTCAACTATATCCCCCAAAAGCTGTCAGGCCAAAAGTGAGAACTGGAAACCACCACTGTCCATCAGAGCTGGGTCGTCTACCCGACGGGATCTGCGTGTGCAGCCGTGAGGTGGTTAGCGGGCCACCAACAAGCCACACCATTTGTGAAAAACGCAAAATACAGAACAATAAGCTTAACAGGCCTCCATCTGGTTAGACTTTTTTTTTTTTTAAAAAAAGATTTATCTTACAAAGAATGAGAACGCGCAGAGGGGAGAGACAGAGGCAGAGGGAGAGAGAACCTCAAGCAGACTCCCAGTGAGCGCGGAGCCCGACGTGGAGCTCCATCTCACGACCCTGAGATCACAAGCTCTTGAGCCGAAATCAAGAGCTGGACACTCAACCAACTGCACCAGCCAGGCACCCTGGTTAGATTTTTAATACAACCACATGGGAATCTCTCGGGAAGCACATGTGAAAGGGGGAAACAGTGCAGGGACAAGCCTGAGGCCCCAAACAGGAGAGAGCGAGTTCCCACGGGGAACTTGTCCCCAGCGAACTCGCCTGCCATTCCTTGCTGCGTGCACACAGCACGACCAACAGCCACAGCAGCCGCGGCTAAGGAGACCAACCACAGCGAGCCGGCCTGTCTTCTGGAAAGGTCAGGAGGAATAGGGTAAGTGCACATAAGCCACAGCTTCCCCCAAGGAAGACTGAGCTCAAAGACATGAGTGCTGACCCAAGGCAACCGCTCCCTTGAATGCAGAGCAAAGACCCGCCTACAACCCGGTGCACCTCCTATCTGTGCTTGCAAGCCAACCACGTGTGGGTGGTCAGCTGTACCACGGACACAACCCGAGCAGATCCCTGAAGTGCCCTCACCCCAGCGATGGTGCTAATGATCAGAGACAAGGCTCATCTTCCGAGGAAGAGACCCTGGTCCTGGCAGCATCAAGCCCAGCCAACGGAGGCCATTCTCTGCCATCTACTGCCAAGGGGCGCGTGAAGGAGGCAGTGACAAGGGAAGCTCGCCCGACGGGCTGGTTCTTGGAAGACGAAGTGGACGTGAGGGGGAGGCAGGGCTCCCAGCAGGAGGAAGGAGTATGGGAACGGCTTCCAGGGGCTGGGGACATGGGGTTGGGATCTGGACAAAGCCGTTCAGATGTCTGCAGGCCGAGGGGAGCCACGAACTGTCAGAACACGTTAGGGAGCCCGCCCTGCCCCTGACTTCTGGGTGCAGGGCACCCAGACACAGCCAGCCAGGACACTGTTGCAGGGGAACTAACCCAAACGGGGGTGGGGGGCAATGAGCACAAGGGTCCAAAGCATCTGGCTCAAACCCTGCCCCACCCCATGCCCTACGCACAAGGAGTCCACAGGGAGGGAGAGTTGATGGACGACGGTCCAGGTTAGGGAAAGCAGCTCTGACCAGAGAAGGGACATTCTGCTGCGAGTCTCGGGCAGGCAGCTGGCCACACGGGTCAGTAAGGGGGAAAGTCTATGGTCCAGACACAGACAAAACTCCTAGGGGAGGTCAGAGAGGGGTGCCGGGGCAGGAGGGGAGACTCCACGAAGGAGCAGCTGGGAAGAGGGCCTGGCCAGTTCCCACGACGCTCACAGAGAACTCGAGAGCGGGGAGGAGGAGAGGGAGAACAGGAGCCCATCACAGGAGGCAGTGGTGAGCAGAGACCTTCGAGGACACCCAGACAGCACAGCAAGGAAACCCAAGGGGTATGCGCTGGCCGAGGCTGTGAGGTGAGGGTGCAGGCGGCACCCCACACCCACTTGATCTGGGAGAGGAGGGGAGGGGCGGGAGCAGGGAGCAGGGAGGCGGAAGGCTGGGGCGGGCTGCCTGAGTTCACAGCCAGCCACTCCGTCAGGGGCCCCTGGGCGTGGGCCAGAGCAGCCGGCTCACCCGAGAAAAAGGAAAACACTCCACTTGGAGCCCGATCTGCCCATCTGCTGGGTTTCCATTGAAACCCACCCAGTCTAGGCTGTTACTCCACTAGGGTCCACGTATGAACCCCAGAGCATCGGGTACAGCTGCTTCCTGTCTTCCCAAGCCAGCTACGGTGAGGCTGCCTCAGAGGGGATGTGCCAGGCTGGTGAGGCCAGCGCAGACGAATCCTATGAGGCGGGCAGGAAGATGTAGAGAAATGAGAAATGAGAACAGAAAGAGGACCTGAAACCCAAACGTCACGCCGGCAGGGTGACAGCTTGAGGTCCAGCTACCATGGCAACGACCCAGAGAACAAAACAAGAAAGGACTCCCTTCCTCCGGTCGGGACCAGCCTCCACACGGCCCACCAGAAAAGCGGTTTCCCTGCTGCAAGGCCCACGAAGAGGAGGTGTCCGCGAGGAACACGTGCAGACATGCGGCTCCTGATGGCACAAGAGCACCGGCACAGTGGTGAGATCGGTGGAAGCCGAAGCCCCCCCAACAGTGGCCGGTACCAAGAGCACTCAGCAAGCAGTGAGACAAAAATCCACGTCTTGCTAAAGTTCCACCCGAGCCCCATCCTACCGCGGTGTCCTGTTACAGCGCAGCTCCGTGCAACCTCTGGGACCACCCTGCAGCGGCTCACATGGCCACCCCGTCCCCCGCTGTGCTACAGGTGAAAAGCAGAGACCCCAGAGCTCCAGCACGCACAGGTTTTTGGCAGCTCCAAAGCCTCCAGGGAAAATGGCAGCGTCGTGATTGGCTGCGCTGAGCCTGGCCAGGTTGGTGATCTTCCCGCGGGCGATCCTCGCAGACTCCGTCAGGACATTCCTGGGAGAGAACACAGGGAGGCCTGAGGACCGCGTCGGCGTGCAGAGAGCAGAGCGGGGCGCACGGGGGGCCGCCGCACGAGCAGAACACACGTCCTCCGCCCTAGGGAAGGCACGGGCCCGTGCGCTGAAGGTCGGGGCCCAGGAAAGACAGTCCAGCCCCCGGAAGCATCTGCAGCACTTAGTCCTGGGCACTGACGAAAGACAGCATAGGGGTGGGAAGGTCCAGGTACCGCACAGGGGGAGGGAAGCAACCCAGGGACAACCACAGCAGGCGCGACCTCCTCCAGGCCGCGTGGCCCGGCGCCCGGGCAGGAAGACAAAGCCCGGGCCGACAGAGGCCCTGCAGCTCCCAGGAGACAGAGCTCTCCCTGGCTGGACCCTGCGGCCGGAGCGAGACGGGAGGGGCGAGAGTATGCCAAGACCGCATGTGCCTCAGGGACAGAAGCGCTCAGAGAGATCCAGAGAGATCGGGGCCCAAGCAGCGGCAGGAGGCAGGAGTCCCGGCCGAGCCACACGGCAGGTGGTCATGAAACACAGGCAGGACGACTTGTGGTGGGCATTAGAAGGCAACAAGAGCATCAGAACAGCCTGGAACGCAGCCAGATCCGCAGCCAGGACAACGCAACCAAGCACACAGGTTCTCAAGGAGCTTCTAGCAGGCACTGGTCCACACTCCAGGGCGAGAGGGGCAGGACCCACACCTGGTTTCACTCTCAGAAGGCTGCCCCTTGGTGTGGTCAACCACGTGCATCTGAGGGATGTCAGGAGCAAAGATCTGGACCTCGGCCCCGCCACGACTCAGGTGAACCAGCACCCTGCACGGAAGAAAATCAGACAGGCTGAGACATACCCGACCCGGCGTTACCACCTCGCTTCTGTGAGCGGGACTTCTGCAGAGGACCCCGTATCCACCCCTTAACGTATACTACCATCACGTTAGCTTTACAGAAAACTACGGTTGGCTTGCCAATGACCCAAACATCCACAATCCAGATTCTCTGTCACTGAACTAGCCTGGAGAGCCCAGCTGGTCCTCAAGCTCCCTTTGCAAACTGGGGTGCAGGGGACACGTGACTCGACTGGTCACGGCCTGGACGTCTAAGTTCCCAGGCTGCTTCGTGGTGCTCTTCTTCCCATAGGCCAATCAGTGCAGGGGTTTGATCTGAGCCGGGCTTTGGTCAGGACAGTAGGTTCAAGTCCTGCTCTGTCCCACCTTTCCATCACAGCCAGAGGGCTGGGGGAGAGATGTGCAGGTCTCCCCAAGGGCTGCTCTGTGCCAGGCACATGTCCACATCTGTTCTAGACCCGGGGCTCTCACCGTCCCCCTTCAGAGGCGGCGGCGTGAGGGGCATGAGCGGGTAGGGCCAGCACCACCCTGGCCCTCAGGCTCTGCTCCTTGTAACCTGCAGGGCTCTCCACACGTGGTCCGTGCCCGCACTGTCCGCCCGCCACCCCGTGCTTCTGCATTCTCGTGCCCCCGCCCCAAGCCCCCATCTGGAAGCTCTCCTGGCCCTCTCCCGCCCACTAGCTCGGCACACTCCGAAGTCCACTGCGTGCCCAGTGCCCATGCTGGCAGCCGAGGGAAGCCGCAGGCTGGGGAAGGGCCTGGGGCTCCTCTGGGTACCGGCAGCCCTGCACTTGGGAGGGGCATGTTCCCCAACCATGCGCTAACTCTCCCTTCCAACCTACTCCAGGCAGGACACCACCTACCACCCCAGCTCACGCAAACCTTTTTTAATAAAATAAAAAAACAGTACAAACGACTCGGCAACAGCTGACAGACCACATCAAAGAAACTGTCTACAGCCCAGGGCGGCTCACCGCCTTAAAACCACACCAGAGCCACGAACGAGAACGTGGACGCCTGCCCGGGGACTTCAAAGTGACCCAGCGGCTGTTAACAGAACACCAGAGGTGTTCAGTGCTTATCTCTGGGGGACAAAGCCACGGAAGGTACTTAACGGGCTTGTCCGTGGCTCCCCGCGCCGCACACAAGGAACTCAAATGCGTCCCTGCTCCCTCGTTTCTGTCTAATCAAAGGGTCTCCACACGGTTGCGCCAAAAGCAAAGCGTCCTTCCCGGGCTTACGCGGAGGCCTCGTGGAGCTCAGTCCCATCATAGACTCCGCAGCCAGACAGCACCTGCAGAGGAGCGGGGGTCAAGGGGGAGTCCACCTGGACACGGCCGGCCTGGGGAGCGGGGCGGAGAAGGGCGGGCCTGGGCGGGGAAGGGAGCTGGCCTCAGACGGTTAGAGGGGAGGAGGCTCTGACCTTGGGCAGGGGTGGGGTTGGGGGTGAACGGACCAGCCTGGGGGCAGGGCTGGGGGCAGGGGGGCCCGACCTGGGAGCGGGCGCGACTTGAGATCGACCTCGGGCGGGGGTGGTTAGGCGGTGGCTGGGGGGCTGGCCCGGGGGAGGGCAGCGGGCCCGACCTCGGCGGTAGCCCCGCCCCCAGGCCCGCCCGCCCGCGTCCACTTACTAGCGCGACCCTGGCCCCCGGGCGCGGCGCGGAGCTGTGGAGGGGCGCGCGTGGGGTGGACGCATGAAGCGGCGCGAACGCGGACGCCGACAAGAGTCTGGACGCCACCAGGGCCCTGACCGCCGCCATGACTGCGCGGGGACGGCGAGTCGCAGGGTCACGCGCTCACAGAGCCCCGCACGGAGCCAGCGTGCTCCGCGCCTGCGCAGTCGGCCTGGCCGCAGTTCCCGCGAACTCGCCGGAGGGCGGGGCCGCGCCTGCGCAAATCGCCCTCCCCAACGCGCTCTGTTCTCCGCCGGCGGCGCGCACCGTCGGATGCGCAGCCGGGCTCCCTGAACTAAATCATTGCTAACGGGGGATGGGAGGGATCCTTCAGGTACCAGCTGGGGTTCCTCCGTTGAAAACCTCTAGGTGTTACCCAGGAGTCAGTTCGCGGGAGACGACTGCATAAATTATTATACTCTCCTTTAATCTATCAATTTTCAAACTCCCAGTAGGTGTTCAAGATAATTTAAATGGTCCCCGTTGGAGGCCACTGGGGAACTGCAGACACACTGGGCAGTTCAACGCAAGGCTGTCCCTGTCACTGATATTGAAACCGTTCCATTTTTAAGACTTCTAGGGTTAATCTCTGCTAGAATAACACGGGATATTATAAAAGTTGGAACCGAAGATGAGCTTGGAACAGTCATGGTCTTTATTCCTGAACCTTCATCCCGGACCCCTCCATCTCTACAGACGGACCCAATTCTTCTGGACCCGGGAGAGCCATTCTCCCTCCTTTCCCCGCAGCTGGGAGTTCTCCCGTGGGGATCCTGGCTTCTCACGGGGGCCAGCCCGTCCATCCCTCTCTCTCCTCAGGGTCACATCCAGAACATGAGCTGGCAGGAGAGACGGGATCATGGGGATGAGGCTAGCCTGCACTGAGTCTGCTCCACTTTCAGGAAGGTAATGCTAGATGCAGATTCTGATTCAGCCGGTCTGGGAGCCAAGAGCCTGCCCCTCTACCAAGCCCCATGGCAGGCACTGCTCCTGCCAGGCCTTGAGCAGGTAGGAGGCTGGCCACAGCTCCGGGACCTGCAGAGCCCCCACCTCCCAGTTGTCTGCACCTCCGGGGGCTGCTCAGCTGCACTTTAACCTTACAAATAACACTGACGGTTTTACCAACAAAAATGTGTTCATTGGAAAACAGCAGAGAATTGCAGCCCATGAAAAGGAGACTGCAGGAAAACTGAAACCATAGGCAAGTCAGGAGAACAGAGCAGAGGAGGCCCTTTTATAGAGAAAAGGGGGCGCGGGGTTGTTGTAAAAACAGTCCACTGGAGTAAACTGGGAGCTGGAAGTGCAGTGGCCTCTCACTGACTGGGCTGCCCCTGGGGAGAGGAGGAAACCTTCCTTCCTCGGCTGGGTCTGCAGGTGCCCGGGAGGGACAGGCCTGAGCGCTCCCCCTGCTGGCCTCCAGACTCTGCTTGAAAGGAGAGTTCCTTTTGTGAACTTTCACAACGTCAATGCGCACACGTGAACTTACCAAAAGGGCAGAGGCGAGGAGTTGGTCAGACCGGACAGTGTTCTAGCCTCAGCTGCAGGGAGCAGCTGTGAGCACAGACCCCCCCAGTGACAGCAGGGGCCCGAGCACACGCACCGTGGGTGCACAGACCCCGTCATAGAGCCCCAGGAGCGGGCACAGGCAGCAGCTCTTGGCACAGCCCACCTGGGGAGCTGGGCAGCACCTCTGGGGAGCCCCAGGCTGGGATCCAGTGGACGCTGTGCGCGCCCGCTGTAGGGGAAGTGCTACACCCAGCTGGGTGGCATTTTCATTTTCCTGCTCCTGGATGGAGGCTGTCCCCACCGAGCCCCAGGAACCAGGGACAGGGCCTGGCAGGAAAGAGCAGCTCGTCTCCTCCATGTGGCCCTGCAGAGCTGGCACCGGAGGTCTGAGTGAGCTCCCCGAGAGCACCGTCCAGTCCCAGCCCCAGGGATCCGGGCACCCCCCCCCAAGGTCGGAGTGCACAGAGACTCTGGGGGCAGGTGGCCAGGGGTGGGGGCCATGCGGGCTGGGGCGTGGTGAGCACTCCGGCAGCCCTGCTCACTCATCCCCCCAGCACAGAGAGGCCAACAGGCAGGCCCCAATCCCCCTGCATGACCCGGGATACGGTATAAACACTTTCAATTCAGAGTTCAGATTTAATCCGTACTTTTATCTTACAAAACGTCATTTTTTCATCTCTATCATCAAAACTGTATTAAAAACATAAATATCGGTCATACAAAGTTCCAGTCTATAAAAACGACCCCATTCACCTCTCTAGAGAGGCGTTTCCAACAGTAGACAAACAACGTTCATTCTGCTCACACCACGCGGGTCCCCAGGCCCGTGTGCCAAGCCGGTGCTGGCCCGGGGAGCGGGCGGCTGGCCCCGGCGCTGCAGCCGTGTTTGGCGCCTACAGGAAAAGCGAGTCCTCCACGTCGGTGTCTCTGCACCACCCTCCCACTCGCTTCCCAGGCGCAGGCCACGGGGCTCCGTCTCTTCGGGGGTCTTACCCGAAACAAGTAGGGTTGGGAACGTGGCCGGCCCTACACCAGCTGCCCGTCCCCGTCCCCCTGTCCTGCGCCGAGCAGGTGCAGAGTGTCGTCATCGGACGCGTCTGCTTCCTCGTCGCTTCCCAGCGGTTCTGAGGGGCGTTTTAGGCCCCGCTGCTTGGACACGGCCAGAGCGTACTGGATGTTATAGCGGTTCCAGTCACACCTGTTAAAAGTGCACAGGAGTCCCGTCAGGAAAAGCGACAGCTTTTCTCTCGTATCAAGACTCTGGCTCACCTGGCACCCAAGCACCTTCTCTGTGACCCCGAGAGCAACCGGCCACGGTGACCCACACGGCCTCCCCAGTCCCACCAGAGCCCGAGGAAGGGGCTGCTGCACAGCTTCACAGCCGTGAGCAGACAGGGACACCTGGGCTCAGTTCATTCCTCATGTGCACAAAGTAGAGAAAAATCACACCGTTGTTTCCCGCAGGAAACCCCCTGGTAAGAGCTAAAGGTAAAGGACTAACGAGGAAACCACCGTCCCTGTGAGAAACCTCAAACAAAATCCACGTTTGGCAACGTAATTCAAGCCCCCCGCCCGGATTAATACACAACGGCTGCGTCCTATGCATCAGCAGCAGGTCACTACACGCAGGAGTTCCGGAACGATGCATTTACGGGAACGCCAAATTACAAGGAACTGGTCTCTCAGACTGAGCTCTGCAGACTCACGGAGGCCTCAACAAACAGCAGGCTCTCCCAGGCACATAGCAGAATTGATGCAGGCCCCCCATGCCCCCCACGGCGTCCCAGCGGGTGGTCAGGACTCTCAGAAGAAAAGCCTCCAAGAGGAAGAGCTTGTTCTAGACTCCTAAAGGCTGAAAAAGCCATCAAGGACAGAACAGGCCTCTGCCTATGGACACTGGGCAGACACCCGCAAGGGCAGAGAACACACCTCTAGGGATGGAGTGGGGACACCTGGCCACGGGCCCCGAAGACCGCCCCGGACACCCCAGGCTCTCTGTGCCCACTGGTTTCACTGGGACAGCGCTCTCTTTTCAACTCCCGGCCACGCCTGAAGCTGGCCCACCTCGAGTCCCACCGTGGGGCAGCCGCCCGTGTGGAACCAGCAGGGGATGGGGCCACCCCGGCCCTGCCCACCAACAATGCCGGCAACACGTACAGCTTGGAGACGTCGTCCAAGTGCCGCTGGATGCTCTTCTGAAGGAACTGAACGGCCGGCAGCACCTTCCCCACTCTGCAAAGGAGACCTGCCTCAGTGCACGGCCTCAGCCAAACGCCACGTGGCCCCTCTCGTGGGCGCGCACACAGCTCGCCCTCTGATCTATAAAGCCCAGCCGAGGGACAAGACTCACAGCTGACCGCGCGGGAAAAGCGCATCTTACCTGGACTTCAGCTTCTGCCCGTGCACCAGGAGCAATTTCTGAGTCCATATGAGGTAGAATTCCAAGTGGCGAGACACTTCAAAGGATGAAGCTAAGAACTCCAGCACTTTCTCCACGTACAACTCAGGAAGCGAGGAGCTGACAACTTCGACTGCGGGAAAAGGAGAAAACCGGGCTCACTTTGCAGAGAACTCTCCCATCAGGAGAAAAGGTGAGGACAGCTCCGCAGGGACCCGAGACCCTGACCGCCAGGCACAGACGTGGGTGCTCACGGCCCGTCCTGGGCCCTGTCCCGGTGCTCACCCTCGTCCCAGGGCACCGACTCCAGCACCTCCTGCAGCAGCTTCTTCTCATTGAGCCGGAAGGCCATGAGAATGGCCCTGGTGTAGTCCTGCTGGCGCAGGGCCGCCCGAATCCTCACGGGGGTGACGCCGGTGTCCAGTTCAAACGGGTCAAACAGCATCTGGGTGTCCAGGGAGTAGACGAGGAGCCCCTCGGTGGTGGTGGCCGCCCAGCAGTGCCCTGGGAAACCAAGCCGTCGAGGGCCTTCCTATAACACCGATTTTCACTTTTCCCCACTTTTTTAAAGAACAGGTACTGGGTATGTCCTCGTGACCCCAAGCGCAATAGCAAGAAAGGTGCACAGGGATGCCTTCCTCCGACTCCCGCCCCAGCCGCCGGTTCCTCTGGGAGGGGAGCCGGGGTCGCTGGGGGGAGCAGACACACCCGTGCACACTCCATGCCGTCTGCCTGCACCAGCCCTGGTCAGCTCCTCCGTGAGGGCGCACACTCGTCTCTGTGGGCCATGCGGCCTCTGCCGAGACGCTGCAGCGGCACCGTGGGGCCCAGGGAAGACGCACAGCACAACCAGCACGGCGGTCCGGAAATCCGCAGGCGCCCAAACGAGGGGCTGCCGGAGTCGTCCCCGGCCACGGTCTGCAGCCCGGCTCGCACAGCGGCACACAGCCAGACGCTGCGGCCCGCTGCTCCCATCACTCGCTCGATGCGGGGGAGGGCCAGCCATCACCCCGCAGACAAGCCCGCCACCAGCCTCTGTCCTGCTCGCTCTGCGGGACCGCATTTACCTAATGGTCCCAGGCCCCATGGGCACAGACCCTCCCCCGCAGCCCCTCCAACGACTGCACACCTGAGTGGTGCTCAGGGCGGGTGCCTGCCTCCCGTTTCAACACCCAGCAGGTCTGAGGCCACCCCCTTCAGTGTCCTCTGAAGAACAGCAGGGCCCAGGGCCAGCCAAAAGCTGTGACCAACCTTGTCCCTGAGAGCAGAGGTGACAGGCCCACACCGTGGGCCCAGAAGCCTAGCAGGACTGACCCCCACCCTTCCCAGCACCAACAGCCTGCTGCTCGGGGCTCACCGGTGGGAGAGAAGCGAAGCGATGTCACCCTGATTTCAGGCTTGAAGTGCCGAGAGCTCATGTCACCTGGAAAACAGGGTGGCACCTCCCTTACCACTCACCGGACAAAAGGAGGGCCCCCCTGCTGCTCTGGGCCCGTCAAGAGCAGCGGCCCTGCCCCCTAGGCCTTCCCACTCTGTATGCACATGCAGCAGACAAGTCCTGGCCCAGGGCCCCAGCAGCTATTTCCTGGGCACTGCAGGCCTCCACAGACGAGCCCTTGGAGCCCCCGCTCCCAGGAGCATCCACTCAGCTTGGCCAGCAGACATTTGGCAAAGGCCTTGGCCCAGCCCCAGGGCTGTGAGGCAGGGTGGCATCCCACCAGCCCATTTTGCCCAGCACTTTGTGCAGTGCACAAGTCACATGACTGCACCAGGCAGCTCTGTGCAGTGGAGGCACATCCTCCCTGGGCATCACCACGTGAATCCCTTCTGCAAATTTATTTTCATACCTGCTGCTTAAGGGATGATATGTTCCTGTGGTATGAAATTCAATGACACACAAATAATCTGAGAAAAGTCGGGCTCCTCTCTGGAGACCACCTATCTCCTCAGAAATACTCTGCTGGGGGCTCCTGACCTCAGGATGACCAACACTTTGGGGCCGCGTCCTCATGGGTCCAGCAGACCCCCTGGTCTCCCCACACTCAATGCCCACAGCACCTGCTCTGCTCAAACTGTGACCATCAAAATGTCTCCAGACAGGTTGAAAACCACCTCTGCACATCACTGAGAAGTTAGGGACCTTGTTTTCATTAAGAGATGCCCGAGAACATGTGTGGCACAGGCAGGGGCTGCTCCAGGGCCCACATCGATGGTGCAGTCCTCCCATCACCCAGCTGGTCGCTGAGGCGCCCCCGCTCCCCCACATGCAGGCTGGGCTCCCGGGCACTCGGGAGTGGCATGAGCCAGGGCTGGAATGAGCTGGCCCAGGCCGGCACCAGCAGGGAGGCCGGCATCAGGGGAGGCGGACAGGGCAGGGCAGCTGCGTGTCCAGGGCCCGCACATCGACTTTCTAGCTGGCAGATGTCCCCTCCTGACGGTCTACCAGGGCCTAAGGGCCCCCTGTTTCTTGCCCTGTCCCCGTGAGGGGTGTGCCCCCCTTGGGCCTCCTCAACTGCCAGCCCCCTGACCCCGAAGCCCTCCTTGTGGCCACATGGGGGCGAGCGCGAGGCACAGGGCTGGGCGGCGGCCAGAGAGCAAAGCCACAGGCCCAGACAGGCAAGGGGGCCGCGGGCCACCCGTGTGGGACAAGAGCTCCTGGACACAATCACCGCAGCCCCAATAGGAGAGCAAAGCCGCTGTCACCCGGAAAAATGGGTGGTGGGCAGGGCAGCCCGCTGCGGCCAGGACCCTGGGGGACACGAGGGACCCTCCGCTCACCTTTCTTTACACCCGGCAGTGGTATCACAGCTCCGTCCTCTGCCCCAGCGTCTTGATCGATTAGCGCCAGGTTGCCAAACTCGGTCATTTTCCTTCGGTTCAAAAACTCCTAGAAGGACAAAACCCCAGGTGTCTCACCCATCAGGTGCGGCCCCCAGCCCCTGCCTGGCTCACGTGGCACAAACACCAGAGGAGACGCAGCTCCGTGGGAAACACCCATGGGACACACGGATCCCGAGACAGCGACAAGCCTGTCCTCACCCCATGCGAGAAGGAACCTGCCCTCAGAGCCTGCTGCAGGCGGGCTCGTGCCGCGGGGCCGCCTCCACGGGGCCCGGACTCTAACGCACCCCTGGCAAGGGCCCTCGTGAGCCTCTGCGGGGCCGGCATACACGGGGGCGTCTGCTCGCTCCGCCTGCCTATCCGCAGGGAAGCAACAAGCAAGCGTGCCCCCGGAGTCACTCAGGAGGGGGCGGGCCTCGCCCTGCAGCGGGGCCGGCATGCGTGGAGGGCAGGGCCGGGCCAGACAGACCTGAGTGCTCCCTCACCTCCATGGCGTCCAGGGAGAGGTTGCAGGAGATCTCAAACTTCTTCCTGAGGATCTGCTCCTTGACGTGATAGATGCACACGAACTTGGACATCCCTCCCGCCAGGATGCTCTGGCCGTCCGCAGAGTAGCACAGAGTGGTGAAGGCCCTGAAGCAGAGGGGACACGAGTGTAGTCACCACCCAGAGACCCCCGACGTGTGGTGCTCCCCCCGAGCCCCAGGAGGCAAACAGCGCCCCCAGCAGCCTCGGCAGGGCTCCGGCCCAAGCTTCCTAAGACCCCGTCACCTGCTCTGCTCCACGGCCGCAGCACCCTCAGGAGGGACCTCCCCAAGAGACGCGACCCTTTCACGGGAGGCCCACGTGGCTCAAGTGGCAGGGTTTCCTTTTCGAAGCCAGAAGGACAAGGAGGCCACCTTGTCTGCCACACGCAGTGGCCCCTGGCAGGGGTGCCGGCTCGGCCCCGCGCAAGCAGAAGCTGGGCACGCACTGGCCGGGCGGCTCACGGGACGTGCGACAGTGTTACAAGTGACACCAAAGAGCGTGAGCAGAAGGAAACTGGACAAGACTTCATCAAATCTGAATGCGTTCGTGCTCCAAAGACACCATCGAGAGTGGAGAGAGCCCTGACGGCAGAAAGAAGAATTTCCACCCCCAGATCCGTCAAGCATCGTCCATCTCGAATACGTGAACTGTCACGACACCGCAGTAAAGACAAGCCAATTCAGGGAGCAGATGCCCCGGATGGACCTTCTCCAGACCCCGCGTGCGAACGAGAAGACGCTGGACAGCGCCAACCTTCAGGAACCGAGGCAGAACCTCGTGCGGACAGTGCCTCACACCCGGCCCAGAGGACTGTCGTTTAAACACCACGCAGGAACGGGTATTGCTGGTGTGTGGGGAAGCGGCCCCTGTGGGTGGCGCAGCCGCTTTGAAAAACACTCCGGTTCCTCACAGAAGCAAACCCTGAACCTCCAAGACACACACACACCCCGAAAGACATAAGGACAGATGCGTTCACAGATGCCGGTCTCTGCCCGCTCCCGAAGCCCAGGGGGCGTGAGGACACAGAGGCCGACTAATCACACCCCGACGCAGGCTCCGTGCCCACTCCCCCACCTGGTGAACGAGCCCCACGACCACACAGGTCCCCGGGCTTCGGGGCGGGACCCGCCACACCGGCTCGCCGAGGCACTCACTTCCCCTTGGCTGAGTGCTTGGCGGTGACCTTATCCAGCTCCTTCCTGCCCGTCTTGAGGTCATGCCTGCCCTCAATGGAGCCCGTCTGCACGGCGTTCTCAGGGTCCCAGAAGGTGATCTGGGAGTTCAGGGTGGCCACAGCCAGCTCCGCACCGTCAGGGCGAAAGGTCACAGCCAGAGCTGAAGAAAGACACGTCATCAGGGCCAGAGCAAGAGCTGAGGCTCCAGCAGGTGGCTGCGTCCCCCCCATGCCCTCACCCTACCTCAAGTCAGAAAAACCAGGCGGGCCCCAGCTCCCTGAGTCAGCGCCCGATGGGCGGGGACCCCCGGCTCTCCTCAGAGAAGCTCCACCCTGCGAGGGAGGCCCCCAGGCCCCAACCACCTTGGGGGGTGCGGGAGCAAGAGGGTCCGGTGAGGTCCCGGGGCAGGCACAAGGCCAGCCTGCTGGGAGGGCATGGGCGAGGGACAAGGCCGCGCAGGGGGGAGGCACCCGGAGGTCACAAGAGGTGCTTCTGACAGAACCGAAGGACAGACTACAAACAGACTAACTGGAGGCTGGAGGTCAGTGTGGAGGCCCCACAGAGACCCAGGCCGTCCACCGGCTGCTAAAAGCATGTACCAGGGCCGGGTGGGGCGGAGAAGCAGCGACACTGTGGAGGCCCGCGGATCCCAGGGGCCCGCGGGGCAGGACGGCTTCACCCACACACGCAGATGGTGGGTCCCCAGGTGGCCTCCTGCACCTACAGTCGCCTCAGGGTCCTCCCCAGGGCTCGGCCTGACAGAGCACTGGCCGCTTCTCAGGGACGGCAGCTCGGGAGGGAGCGCCCGGCTCGCTCTCCTAGAGAGGAGCCCGACGCCGAGTGACAGAACGGGGCCACCGAGGAGGATGGATGAGGCTCCCTCCCCCGGTGACACCTTGTACCCGCATCCCCCATGCACCCACCGTCCGAGGTCAGGCCCAGCGTCTCCGTGGTCCTCCAGCTGTCCGCCATGTCCCACAGGCGCACCGTCCTGTCCCAGGAGGCACTGGCCAGGACCGACCTCGCGGGGTTAAAGCACAGACTGCTGACAGGGCCCTCGTGACCAGACAGCACCTACGGCGCCCAAAGAGCAGTGTGACGAGACAGCCTCGGGAGCCGTGCGCGTACCAGGCCCGCACACCCAGGCTGCTGGACGGGCGGGCTGACGAGGGTCTCACTGTCAGTGCGGGGGAGGGGAGGAGCTGCGGCCAGAACACGCTGCTCAGCCCCTCGGGTCCGCAGAGGTGCCCTCCCGCGTGGGGCTGTGGCCCCACCCCCAGCCCCCAACACTCAGCCCTTACGTCCAGGAGCCTGCCTGTCTGCATGGACCAGATGAAGACCTCGAAAGAGTCCTGGGCCCCGGCAGAAACGACCTCCCCGCTGCAGTCCACAGCCACGCAGGAGAACTGGGTGGGCCGCGGGGACGTGAAGGTGCGGAAGTTCCGGTACCTGCCCGAAGACAGCAGTTGGCTGGCACAGCTCACAAAGCCCCGACGCCTCGAGGCCCCGAGGGCTCGGGCTCACCCCGAGCTCGTCTACACTACGCGCTTCCTGGCAAGCCCACGACCCCTCAGCCCCACTATCACGGCCCACCCAGGGGACCGAGCAGGAAGGTCACCTGTGAAGGTCAAAGGCACGCACAGTCCCGTCCATGGAAGAGGTCACAATGACATAGCCGGTGGCCGTGAAGGTCACGCCAGTGACCCCACTCGAATGCTCTGTGAACGTGATGAAGCAGAAGCCGCTGAGAGTGTCCCACACCTTGACCTGCAGCGGGAAGGGCGTGAGGAGCAGGGCTGGCCACAGCTCAGGAAAGCGTGCGCGCGCGCGCACCCACGCACACACAGGTCGCCTCAACCAGGACCCCCCCAGACGTGCACGCACCTGCCCCACGGGCCCCCACCAGCCTTGTCACCGCAAGAGGCGCAGCAAGCACGCGCCCACAGAACATGGCTGCCCCCACACACCAACCCACAGCCAAGCGGCTGCATGCGTGCAGGCCGAGCCGGAAACAGAGAAATAGACGGCCCACCCTCCCCACCCAGCTCCGGGTAGTCTCTGAACATCTTCTCACGAGCCTGGACGCAGCGGGGTGAGCCCGTGGGCTCCAGGCTAAACCCCGGAGTCGGGGCCTGGCTCTCCCTCCCTGGGGGCACAGCAGGACGAGACGCCGCACCCCGCCCAGCCCAGGCCCCAGCCCTTGCCGCCCGCCGAGCCCCACCTTGCCGTCATCACTGCCGGTGACGATGTACTGCCCGTCGGGGGAGTAGGCCAGGGACACCATGCTGTTGAAATGGCCCTGCTGCTTGAGCACATAGGACTCGCTCTGCCACTCCCACACCAGCAGCTGGCCCAGGCCTGCAGAGCACATGGGGGGATGGGCACCGGCACCCTGACCTCAGACCCAGCAAGGCAAGTGCCCCCATCACCCTAACCTGAGAGCGGGCACCCCGCAGAGACTGACCTCCCAAGTCATGGTCTCACAGGCACCTGCTGCGGCCCCCAGAGGCCCCCAGCACAGGCCCCGCGGCCAACCAAGCCGGGGGCTCAGCCCACAGCTGCAGGCCCCGCGGCCGACCGAGCCACGGGCTCAGCCCACAGCTGCAGGCCCCGCGGCCGACCGAGCCACGGGCTCAGCCCACAGCTGCGGGCCCCGCAGCCGACCGAGCCACGGGCTCAGCCCACAGCTGCAGGCCCCGCGGCCGACCGAGGTGGAGGCTCAGCCTACAAGGTGGTCGCACCTCAGAGGAGCGCCGGTTCTGCACGCCCGTGGCTCCCTCCCACAGGACCCACTGTGCTTGCTCGCACCGGGCCGGTCAAAGGGGCTTTTCCCAGGAGCTGGCAGGCAAGGCGGGGGGGGAGGGGGCACGGTCAGCGGTCGGAGAGCAGCTCTCTTCTCGTTCTCGTACGACCGTACACTGAGACGAACCTGAGCAGCCAAAGGCGATCCAGTCTCCGGACCCATTGAGAGCGATGGAAGCGATCCTCCGATCAGAGATGCTGAGCGGGAGAGCACACTGTCTGAAAGGCGGGCAGGCGGCACCGCGAGCCCCTCTGTCCACCGCCCACCTGGCCGTTCCACAGCCCTCACCCCGCGCAGCGGGACACACACGGCACAGCCCGACGCTCCCCGCCGTCGGGCCTGCGGGGTCAGCAAGCACACGCGGGCCCCCCACGGCACCGGGTGGGGCGCTCACCTCAGGGAGTGGATGAGGTTGAACTCGGGGAGCTCGTGAAGGTGGAAGATCCCAGAGGCAAAGCCAGTGACCAAGAGGTGGGTCTTCTTGTGAAACGCCGCGGCTGTCAGATTGTTAAAGTCTCCCTCTTTATTGAAAAAGTACCTAAGCAGGTGGGCGATCAGAAGAGTTGTGGACAGAGCGCCAGACAACCAGGCTGATCTCAGCCTGCACCCAGCCCCCCCGGGACCCCCAGGCCGTGGGCCCCGGCTCTACACAGGACCCGCGGCCCTGCTGCCCTGGCCTCTCACTCCCTGTCGCCCGAGGATGCCCCCCGCCCCCCGCCCCGAGCCTCCCTGACCCTGCAGCTGGGACGCGGACGCGAGGCGGTCTCCCAGCCTGCCCCCCACGGCGGGCCCACTCTCCGCGCCTCCGCATCACGTTAGCCGCGAGGGTGCGAGGCCCCCGCCACCGCCGCCCCCGGGGGACACCTACTTGGCCAGCCGAGAGTATTTCACTTTTCCCTGCTGCTCCGCGGCAGCCGGCGTGGCCTTCCCCCGGATGGCGGTCTCCTCCTCCGCCTCGTCTTCGTCCTCGTCCCGTGCCCCCTGCAGCAGCTCCGCCTTCCAGCCCGCGGGGGCTTTCAGCCGCAGGCCCTCGGGGGGGGTGTCACACCGCCACACGCACAGGGCGCCGTCCTGGCTGAGCGTGTACAGCTGTAAAAGGGAATGTCTGTGACTGGGTGCGGCGCGCCCCGACACCAGCCCCGCCGGCCACGTGGCGGACCCCGTGCCACCAGAGCCTGCCCCGAGCACTGGCAGAGGCGAGGCCCTAAGGGACAGCCAACAGGTGCCGCCGCTTCCTAAACACCCCCAGGTAACTCGGGAGGGCGCCTGTGTCTACAGGGGGAGGCCTGGCAAGTGGCTGCGATCTGGACTCCACCAGGCGAGACGCTCCAGACACGGGACATACATCTAGGCTGCCGGATTCGAAGAAGCAGGCCACGATCACATCCTTGTGTCCCCCGAGCGCGTAGTAGATGAGGTTGTCCCAGCGCTCAGCTCCAAACACCCACGTGGACATGTCTTTGCTCCCGACCGCAAAGCACCTGGACGGAGAAGACAGGGCGCGTCCTCAGGGCTCACGGCGGAGGGCCACCCCAGCACACGGGAGTCGCCCAGGGCGACCAGCCCGGGTCTGCCCGGCCTGCATCACCCGCCGAGCGTCGGCCGCATCCATCTGTGTTGCTCAGGGAATGCGTCACCACCCCTCCTCACAAAGCAGTCCCTCACGGGACGGCAGCCCAGGGGAAGCCCTAAGAGCCGACTGCCAAGCCCATCGGGTGCCACGTGGGGAGGCCTGCTCCTCACGCTTCCCCGATTCCCCGTGACCCCAGTCTGAGGGAACCCTGCTTACGGCACAAACACGGCCAGACGCAAGAACAGGTGGCGCCTTGCTGAAGAGGCGGGAAGGCTTGGCGGCAGGGCGCCCCACCCCCGCCCCCAGGGAGGTCGGCCATACAAACCCGCCCAGACCACCAGCCCCCACCTCTCCCTGCGCAGACTGCGGGCAGCTGGGCAGGAGCCTGCAGCCTTTCAGGGCGGCGAGGGGTGCAGCCGTAAGAGGACGCGGCCGGCCCCCCTGCTGGGAGAAGCCCCCCCCCGCCAACCCTCCCACGGACATAGCTGCTCCGGACATTTGGCGGAACGGATTCTAGCACGCTTGGCAAGCTCCCGACCCTGTGCTCTGGTTTCCCAAGACAGATGCCGGGCTGGTGCAGGCCCAACTCACAACCAGGAGCCCAAACGGTCTCCGGCCCCACAGGACGCTCAAGAGATACCATTACAAAAGGAAACTTTGGGATTCGACAAGAGTCTCCAAGGCTCCCCATCCAACAAGAGGCTGGTTACAGGGGTTCCCCCCCCCCCCCCCCCCCCGGGCCTCACCTGGAGTCGTCTGTCCAGTCGATGCACGTGGTCTCATCGTACGGCCCAAAGTAGGTTTTGTCCAGGACGAACGCGTTGAATTCCCGCTTCCTCCCGGGAGCATGGTACATCTGAGCGATGTTGCCTTTTGTGACGACGAACTTCCTGCCGCAGAAATGGAAGCCGTCAGGATCCAACACCCATGTAGTCCCAAGACCAGCTCAGAGCCTCTGAGGACAGCGCCCCTGCCGTGAGCAGCTTCCTACGAGAGGCGAACATGGGGGCCGGCCTCACCACGGCCCCCGACCCCCGTCTTCTCCTGCAGGGACCCTGAACCCAGCCGCCCCACTGCCATGGAGCTCAGGCGCCCCCGGCACTCCTGCCAGTTTGGGGGACAGCCGTCAAGGCCAGGCCCCACTTGGACAGCCCTGGGGGAGCTGGAAGGACAACACGGGTTCCACACAACGGGCGCAGAGGATGGCCACTGCCTTCTAAGGGGTTTCTGAGGCTGGACGCGGGATGGGGGCTCACAGCTGAAACCCAGAGCCGCCCCCGCCACAGCACATCCAGGTCAGCCTGAGTGTGAGCAACCTGGGAACGAGCCCCCCTCTCTCCTGGGGCCCTTGAACCCGGAGCAAGGCTGGGTCCGGCCAGGACCCCATCCGCACACATTCTCCTCCCTGTGGACCTCGAAGCTGGGGGTCAGTGCCACTCAGAGCCAGGGGCTCCTTTGTGGCTCTGCTGTCTGGAGGCCGCAAGACCCTCTGAGGACCCTGACTATTCTGGAAGTGGTTTTGGTCGAGAACCTTTAGAAGCTCCCACTCAAGACGGGAGCACCAGCCCTGGCGGAGCGGAGCAGAGGTTGCGGCCACACGGGCCTGCAGGAGCCCAGAGTCCACACCGACAGACTGTCCCCAGCCCAGAGGAGGCCCGCGCACAGACTCCCTCACTGACACCTCCGCTCAGAAGAGCCCCCGAGCCCTGCTGCGCCCATCATGGAGCCTGGGCTTGGAGAGCGCCCTGCCCCAAGCCCCAGGCCCCCACCTGCCATCAGGAGAGAAGGAGACACTGTGCACTGAGCCCTTGAAGTGGAAGTGGTGAAGCACGGACCTGCACACCAGGCTGACCAGCAGCGCGTCCCCCCCTGCAGCGAGGGAGAGAGGCAAATGTGTAGGCGCCCCAGATAGGACGGCCACGGCCCAGCCCGGCAGGACATCTGGGCACGTCCACATCCCCCACATATGCCCTCACCCCAAAGCCCACTAGGGTCCCAGGCAAGGAAGCGACTGGGGGAGAGGACTGGGGGAGCCTAGAACCCCAGAGGGATTTGGTGTTGGCCTTGAGTCACCATGACCCCTGCCCTGCCTGTCCCCCCCAGCTGTCTGCACTGCAGCCTCCCGGTCAAGGGTACCTACCTTCATCAACGATGATGGCCAGGCGGCCGTCTGGGGACAGCCCTACACACCTGACATTGTACCGAGTAGCCAAGGGCAGAGTGTTGGATTTGTTGCTAAAAGACAAAAACCACAACTGTGTAGCTGGTCGCAGTCCTAAGACGAGGAAGGGGCAGCCTCGGGCCACCCACCCCTTACCCCCCTCTTGTCCCTGGCCAGCTCCAGGGCCAGAGCACACAGCTTGTCCCCAGCTCCCTGCTGGAGACGAGGAAATAAGACCAGGTCCCTGGAGAAAATTTGGCAAAGCAATATTCAAAACCTTAAAAACGGGCTTTGGTTTGGGGCGTCTGGTGGCTCAGTCGGTTGAGTGTCCGACTTTTGATTTTGGCTCAAGCTGTGAACTCCGGGTCATGGGATGGAGCCCCGGGTCAGGCTCCACGCTCAGTGAGGAGTCTGCTTGAGGTTCTCCCTCCTTCTCCCTCTGCCCCGCCCACACGCGTGTGCACACATGCTCTCTCACACAAAAAAAGTAAACAAAAAGGGGGGGCTTTGGCTGTCCACTTTGTTGTAGAAGTGTGTCCCAAGAGCATTCCACAAATGTTACAAAGTCCCCACTAGAAATGAGCTAAATGTTCAACAGAAGGAATTAACCATAAGAACCGCACGACCCTGTAAAACTGTCGTTACGAGATGGGAAAATAAGTAATGTGAAAAACAAACAACCGTTGGCTCGGATTCTGACTTTGTTCCTTATTATTTTACTTCCTAGTTTTCCTCCACCGAGCGTGTGGTCCTTACTCCAGGCCTGTGACAATCTCGCCTGCTGGCCCAGGGTACCCCGCCCAGGTATTTGGAGCTTCAGGAAATAAGTCCCAGAGAGGATGGGGCCCATCGTCCCACTGTACGGATGCGGAGGCAGAACGGCAGAGCAGGACGCAAGTCCAGGCAGCCACGCGACAGGAGGTTCTCACCCTGGCCACGTGACTCTGGGAAGGGGTGACAACCCTTGAGGAGAAAGGAACAGAGCCACAGGCTCGTCCGGGAGGAGAGCGTAACTGGCCAGCAGAACCGGGCTGCGCTGAGCACAGCGGTGGCCCAGCGGGGGGTCAGGGCAGCCTCCAGACCCAGTACCTAGGTGACCGAGACCCCAGGGCTTAGCCAAGGGACTAGAGCAAACCAGTCCCACTACTGACCCAGCTGCTCTAGGTAACGGGGAGGTGGAGGGGGCACTAGGAAGGGGGAGAGGAGGGAGACACGGTCAGTTTGCCCGCACGCCCTAACAGCACGGCGGCTGTAACACACTGCCACTGAAGTCGTCTCAACACACTTACTTTTTAAGGTCAAATACAGTGACCCTATTTCCCACAGGACTGATCACTGAATTTCCATCGCACGTAAAATTCAAATTTCCACACCGATAGACTGTCCCCAGCAAATTTGAAAACTGAAAAGAAAATAATCCATCTTAATACAACGAAAGCCCAAAATGTCTCAACTCCAGGAAAGGCTAAGTGAGGCCTCTGGTCCAGGAGACGGCACAGAGCCCCCCTCCCCTCGGGCCCCTGGCCATTCCTGGGGTCCCTCCTGGGACACTTCCTGGCCACCTATACAGCCCCGCCTGCTGTGAGAGAGAAGAAGGGTAAGTGAGCCCAATCCCCAGGGGCTCCAAGCCCCCAAAGAAGAGGGTGAGGGCCACTGTGAACATCTGGGGGGCTTCCATACACAGAAAGGGACCCACGTTGCAGGGAGAGAAAAGCTGGAGCAATGAAAAGCACTTGCCCGGCATCTCGGGCTCAACGCTTCCCCAGCAAAGTAACCTGCTCCCGGAGTCCAATCCATGAACTCATTGGTTCGCGCACTGAAGGGTGCACTGGAGATGTCGCTGTGCCCAGGGTCTGTGCCCTCGATGCCCTCCTATTCCACACCGGGCAGGCAGGGCAGGGAAGAGCTAATTACAGAGCGTGTGCAGTGCTTGGAAGACTGCATGAGAAGGGAGAGCTGGTTCGGAGGTGGGTCAGGGACAGACCCTTGGAGGGCCGCCTAGACTGGACCCTAGACGGAAGGAGTGGGCAGGGCCAGCGTCTGGAGCTGCAGCAGGGCACGGGGAGACGCCCGGCCGGCTGACAAGGCTGTAAGCAGAGGCCTGCTGTGATCGATTCCCGTGTTTTCAGACCATGTTAATGACCGTGGGGACAACAGGGGAAGCAGGGAGGCGAGCTAGGTGACGGCGTCCCGAACAGGCAGGCGGCCCCCGGAATGGAGAGGAGCCGGATACGGGAAGGCGGAGGGCCGCCACCCCGCGGCTCCAGGTTTGGGTCCCGGGGGAAGGGCGGGTGGCGCTGAAGAAGGCCCGCACTGTGGCCAGGGCCAGGCCGAGCCGGAGACAGCAGGGACAGGGACGGCGGCCACCTCCAGCGTCCCCGCCCACGGGGCGGCCGAGAGACCTGCCCGCGGAGGAAGATGAAGGCAGGCTCCCCCGGCATGGAGCCGGGAACCAGGCCTTGAAGCCCGCGCCGCTGCTCACCCCGCCGGGGCTCCGTTCTCTCCCGCCCACACCTGAAGCCTGAGGGCCGGGACCCTCTCCCTCCCGTCCGGGGACCGCCGCGCACGGCCCCGAGGCCAGCCGCGCGGGTCACAGGCTGACAGGCCTGAGCGGCCACGCCCCGCTCTCCCGACCCGCGTCCGCTCCCCAGCCCCTGCGCCGCGGACCCCCGACTGCGCCCGCGCTCACCCGGTACGCGAACTTCATCGCGGCCGCCACACGTGTGCCACCGCGCAGCCGCCGCGCCCCTGCCCGTCGGCCCCAAGCACGCACTTCCGGGACTGGCCGCCACCGCGCACCACAGCGCCCCCAGGAGACCCGGAGGGGCGGTGCCGCCCGAGGCGGAGCCCAGCCTGCAGACCCCGCCCCCACTGCACCCCGAGGCGGAGCCCAGAACCCAGGCCACGCCCACGACTCCTCTCCGGGGCGGAACCCAGGCCGTGGGCCTCGCCCCCACCGCGCCTCGAGGCGGAGCCCAGCCCGTAGGCTCCGTCCCCGTCTCCTCCCCAAGGCGGAGCCTAGTCCCGCAGACCCCGCCCTCACCGCGCCCCAAGGCAGAACCCAGCCCCGCGGGCCACGCCCCCACCGCACCCTGAAGCGGAGCCCCGCCCTCAGGCCCCGCCCCTACCGCGCCCTGAGGCGGATGCTAGACCGCGGGCCACGCCCCCACCGCGTCCGGAGGCGGAGCCATACCCAGGGCCGCGCCCCTGCCTGACCCAGCAAGGCTGGGGCTCCTGGCCTATTGGGCAGGGCTCCCTCCGCCGCCGCCGCCGCCGCCGCCGCCGCCGCTCGGAAGGTTCGTGCCCTGAGTAGGTGAGACACCCGGACTTCACCTTCACTTAATAGCTCTGCATTATGAACGGGGCGGGGGCAAAACCAAGGAAACGCCGAAGCAGCTGAAGAAATTGTATTAGAGATGCTACCAAAGGTCACAAACACAGCTAATTTGTCAAGCTACGTCTGCAAAAAAATACCCCAAACCCTGAAGACTCAAATGTCTTTGTTCCTGTGGGCTATTGGGCGATGAATTATGAAAAAAATCCCTAATGCTCCCTCCCCACAAAGTAAATAATCTGGGCTATCAGTCAGGAACAAGGATTAGGGAGAGAAGACAAGAAAATTCTTTAACTTTACACACTCAACTTTCATGCTCCTCAGCAAAAGAATGAAAGTTCAAAACAGCAAAGTTTCTTCTTAAAATGTGTATTTTCAGAATTATAATGCTTACATTTTAAAGTCTTAATACAATGGTTTTAGTCTAACAATATATTACAGAATAATGTGAAAAATGACTCTCATAGTAAACCATGAAAATGGAATTAATACCTGCAGTGTCAAAGTCACCAACTTGCCACCTTTTCCAGTCACAGAATCCCAGCAAATTGTATTAACGATACTTTCGGGTCTTGTAGCCTGACATATGCTATGAATAAATTTAGAGAAAGGGGCACTTTCATGAAAAATCAAATTCCAAAATCACGGATTTATTTTAAAGATCACAGTTGACAGCAAAACATTCAGATCAGTGTAGTTTGTTCTTTAAAAAGTAGTATAACTTTTCATTTTATGTACACATCTGGAGTGTTTAATTTGATTTTATAACTCAATCTTATTTTAAACACTAAAGAAAAACTGAACAGAAGCCTGTGTGTATTGTCTCTGCTCACTACGGGGTATCAACCAAGACTTAAGTAGTACAGGAATCCGACCCACGACCGGCTGTGCTGACAATGGACTGTAGGTAAAAGTCATTTTCAGATTAATACAACAATTTCCACATTAGAATCAGAAGTTATAATTTTTCCAATCATAGGAAACCCCATGAAATTCACCAAAATTATAACTTATTTCCTTTTCCATTTGCTAGTATTTACATGTTCCACAATATGTGTAAAACATTTGCATATTCTGCTTTTTAGATGCACATTCTATATCCGGCTTCACAATTATTTAACAGCTGCTACATCTTTATTAACAAAACCAGCTTGTCTCAAACACATAAGCCTTATTTTATTTTAGACAACAAAAATCCAAGTACTGCTTTAAAAAAAAAAAAAAAGATGAAGTTTTAGGTGACATTTTTCATTTGTGTAGAACAAAACAAAATAAAAATAGAGGCACCCATGTAACTTAGATTGCAAAAGATCTTTTGGGTAATGGGGGGGGGAACAAACCTGCAATAAATTTGATTTTATACAAATTGAAAACAGTAAGAAACCACCATGAACATTCTGGATTTCTCCTTCATTTTTTCCCTCTTTTATGCAACTAGAGAATTTCATCTTGGGATTAGAACCCAGAAACGAAAAATCAAACAGAAGTAAGATAACCATCGAATCACAGCCCCACCTTCCAGAGGGTGAGAGGGAAAGCCACATTATACACGGTGTGAGGCTTTTCAGATAGAATCAAATCGCAAAGATCTCTTCATTCACAGGGCTTGGCAGATCTGTAGGGCAATCATCAATTTTTACAATAAAACAAAACTTATTTTAGAAACCCTAAACTATCATTAGATTCTGAAGTTCTAATTTGCCTAACTAGCTGACTAATAAACTTATTAGTTTTAAAGTGCACCTAAGGAAGATCATTTTCTGAAAAGTTTATAAACACACCAGTATTGATCTTCTTTACACATTTCCAATTTCTGTAAATGATAAAAGACATGGGGCAGGGTGGGGAGAATGACACCACCTTATTTTTTGGGTGAGTGAAAAGACAACACAGAGAAGCGTGGACACAACTGCTCTGCTCTAGTTTCTCCGAGCTGCCCCTTGGCCCCTGCTCCCCGCCACGCCGCCGCACCAGCCTCTCTCCCACAGGTGACCAGCAGGACCGGCAGCGGCAGCAAAGGCGCCTTTCCTCTGGGGCTCACATGCTTGAGGTTATTCCCATGAGGCCGCACCCTCTGCTGGACCTGACTACACTCGCTTGCATCAGTCCAGTCAGCTTGATTCCAACCACACTTTCCCAGGGAAGTGAGAGTTCTCTATTTCTTATGTACAAAAATACATTGCTTTGGAGAGCTGGAGAAGGCTGCATACACCCAACACTTATTTACAAAGCTGTGACTCTCACACCAGTAAAAACAAACACACATTTATTTTGTCCTTGATTTTTGGTGCAACTTATACATAAACATTACATCAGTTAGTCTGTACTTTTAAAAATAATAAATCAACCCTATGTACAATTAAATTTACAACCGAAAGCAAATTAATCCATTGGTATGGTATGACTGCAATTTTAGTGGACCAGCAGAGAGTATTCCAAGACTTTTGTCCTTCCCACAACCAAACTAGAAGCACACTGAGAGGGGCCCCCACCAGTCTCCCCTGAAATGGAGCCTCTTCATCTCTAGGATTTAAGGTGCAGAAGAAACATATTGATTATACAGTGACAATGACATGTCAAGACTTCAAAGGCAAGAAGAAAACAACATATCAACCCCCACATATATAATAATTAAAATAAATACATACTTAATTTCAAGTGCATATTGACATTCAGTCAACATCACGGGGAACAGGGGTTCCAGAAAGATTTGTTCCTAAACTATTTCAATGCCAAGTTGTCCCTTAGGCCCTGGTCTAATCTTCCCGAAGTACCTTTAAGATGGCTCCAGCTAATGGAGGCTCCAGGTCCACCCAGTGTGACACCCCAAGGCACAGAAAGGGTTCTGTTCCCTCCCCACCCAGCCCTCAGCCTCGCTGACCTGCCCTAACAGGGTGTTATTCTAGAAAAGTAGAGTAGTGACTCCTCTCAGGTAAAAAATGGTGTTTTATCCCCCAAGAGACTCACAAATCCACCCGGTCAAGAATCTGGAGGGCAGCCGTGTGACCAGGAAGGCGCACACGTGTGATGACTTAAGACGGCAGGGTCTGCCGTGTGTCTCCCTGGAAGGCACACGGACTCCATGAGGAACCAGCAGACGGGGAGGCCACCAGGAGAGGGGGCACAGTGCGGATCTTCCGGGAGCAGGGAAGGGGCGATGGAAGGGAGTGGGGCTCTGGGCGGACACCGCAGGGCACCAGCACAGACGCAGGGACAGGGAGATTGAGAGTAACAAGTCCCCTTACACCATGGACAACACAAAAAAAAACGCTGTAACTCAGCCGACCGGCCGCACGCTGAAATTCTCCGATGTTTCCGTGGGCAGGCAGAATCACCGAAAGTCTGGTTAGCGCTAGAATGTTGCGATGGAGAGAGCAATGGAGCCAGGATCCCTTCGAGGGCGCTCACACCCAGCCGAGGGCGTGTGCCGACCCGAGGCACGGTCATGTGACACTGACTTCGAGAACATGGTCATCTTTGCTGGGGATGACCAGGACCTGCGTGCCCATGCTGGAGTTGAAGACCTGGCCGGCCGGCAGCGCCTGCAGCCGGGGCATGGGCAAGCCTTTGTGCTCGCTGCTGGAGGCCGAGTGCACGCTGCCCCTGCTCTTGATGCTGCTGCTGTCCAGCTGGTCATCCACGTGCTTGTCCACCGACAGGCTGTCGTTCTCTATCCAGCTATCTGCAAAATTCACAGGAAGTGAGACACGGCCCCCTGACTCGGACGGGCTACCTACCCCAGGGAACAATGAGCCGCCCGAGCGACCTTCAGAGCACGAGAGTAAGTGAGGTGGCCCCTTTAAAGGAGAACCTAGTGCATGGGCCCTCAGAGGACCCGTGGAGGCTTCGGAGCAGGTGCCTACAACTTGCAACCCCACTGGCACCAAACACGCCGTCGATCAGCAAGCCCGGTCCCTACGAGGCGACGTTACCACCTCCCCGCATGGAGCTCTCACTCACTGCAACCGTGAGTGCACCCTTCAAGAGTCCTTACCAGCATCCAGTTGTGAGGAGTGCGCAGAGTGATGGGGGAGGTATTTAAACAGCCTGACGTCGGGAAGGGGGAGGTAGCCCGCGAAGAGGGGCATCACCTCCATGTGGACCCGGTGAGTAGCCTGGGCGACCACAGGCATGGAGATGACACCAGAGCTTTTCCCACACACTGCCCAGTTGCTACTGTTGTCGACCACTGGAACAGAGGGAGAGCACTGCTTTACCCCAGGAAGGGCATTCGGTATTCACAGCAAAGTAAGAGCCATCAAGAGTCCCGCACGCCAGAGTGCAAACCCAAAACCCCATACGTTCTATACCGCACCCACCGTCTTGTAACTGACCTCAACAGGAAACAGAATGGTTTAATGACACGATGCATCTGAGAGGCATAGGGAAAATCACTTTTTTCTCCTCAAGTTAATAAATCAACAGGGATTCAACTGTACTCAAAACCTTTGTGTCAGGCTTCCAGAGTACGGGGGCTCTGGCTGTGAAATTTGGAATGGGGGCGGAACAGGGTGGCGGTCCCCCTAGTAAGCGGTGGCGTCAGACTGGGGGTCCCAATCCCAACTCTGCCGCTCAGACGAGCCTCTCGACAGGACGGAAAGAGATGTATGGAAAGCCCTTCTACCAGCACAGCGGACATTCTTAACATATGGCAGTTACGAGCACTAATGATTACAACACAACTGTGATGTAATTCAATGTAATCCAAAGGAGCCTTGTCTTCAACAAGCCGATGGCCTTGCAAAAGGTGACAGCAGCTCTGTCAAGGGGACACTGAGCAGGGCCCAGGAGCTCCACTGAGGAGCAAAGAAGGGGTCACAGAGGGATGGCTTCCTACAGAGGGGGAGGGGGAGCCTCTGGGGACAAGTGGTACCAAAGGACATGCAGAGGCTAAAGCGGCATCTGGGAGGGAGACACCGGAGCAGTTCTCAGAGGGTGGTCCCTGGGGCACCAGGAGGTCACATTCCCGCCTTTCTCCCCGGGCTGCCATGCGCACCGGTGGCCAGGACCGGAGGCCTGAGCTTGAACCGAGGCTCCACGTGCACGGAGAGTCAGTGGCTTCCTCACCACCACACACTTGAGGACAGAAATTGCCAGTTTTACTTAAGGATGTCCTTCGTGAAGTAGTCGAAATTAATTTTATTAAACCCAATCCTTAAGGAAAGATCCTTTTGAACTTTATCTCTGAAATGATTACAGACTCCCGAGAAGCTGCACACCGTTAGAGAGGGCCCCCGGCCCCCGAGCCCCCGGGACTGCACCAGCAGTGCTCTTTGGTCTGGGGTACTGGGCAGATGTCTCGAAAATGAAGGGCGTGAGGGGCACCTGGGTGGCTCAGTCGTTAAGCGTCTGCCTTTGGCTCGGGTCATGATCCCAGGGTCCTGGGATCGAGCCCCGCCGTCGGGCTCCCTGCTCGGCGAGAAGCCTGCTTCTCCCTCTCCCACTCCCCCTGCTTGTGCTGTCTCTCTCTCTGTCAAATACATAAATAAAATCTTAAAAAAAAAAAAAAAAAGAAAAAAGAAAACAAAGGGCGTGAGCCTGTCACTTCAAAGAAGTTGCCAATGATACGATCTGAAACTGATCCAGAGTGAGAATCTCGGAAAACCGGTCCTTGCCACTGTGAGCCCGGCAGTGTCCCAGGACTCACGCTACCGCAGTGAGCTCCGTGTGGGCCAGAGACGGATGCCAGCCTGTGATACTGTCCGGTGAAAGGCGTCCACATGTGTGCGATCTGCACACCTCAGGAGCCATGTTTCCCAAGTGACCGAGGCATGGCACCGCGAAATGATGCCTGGGTAAAGGGGCCTCTCAAACTACAAGCCAGATCTGAGGATCTGAGGATATGGAGTACGAAAAGTTCATTCACATGATTCAGCTTCCATTCGGTAACTGGCCTGGAAAAAAGTACCACTTGTCAAGTTCTGGTGAAAAGCCAAAGAAGAACAGCCACGGTTATCGGAAGGCTGTTAAAATCTACCTCCCTTTGCCGACTCGGGATCTGTGCGACCCTGGCATGTCCCTGCGCCCTTCAGCCAGAGTCCCACACGTCAGCACTGAGAGCGCAGCAGGGAGGACACGCCAGCTCCCTTCCGGGAAGCCCGGTGTTAGGGAGAGTTGCAAGAATGCAAATTAATGTCATTCTTCTATTTTTTGTCTTGTTTTCCTAGTTTTGGAAAACAGTTCTTTTTCAAGCATGAGGTCATATAACGCCGTTTACTGTGATTTTTAAGTAACTCGAGAAAGAAATCTTTGGCTCCCCAACCATTTCTTAGAGCACAAACGGTCCTGACACCCCAAACGGAGAGCTGCTCCTGAAGCAGCCCCGGGCCCTGGAGGAGGTGAACGGCGACGGGTGTCTGGGAGTGGTGGGTGCGGGGGGGCGGGGGGGAGCCCAGGCGGGGGGCCAGTGTCAGGTGTGGGGGATGAAAGGAGGCCAGAGGGAAAAGGGCCCGGACTCGAGGACACATGGACCACGGGGCAGCAGAGTTGGGACCTTGCTCCCGTGGTGTGGGGAAGACCCCGAATCACAGGCAGAGAGGGAATGGGCAGCTCCAGGGGCCACCGTGTTCTCAGCACTGGGCCCAATGACTGCCTGAGAATCTCCCCAGGAACCAAGTCCAACATCCTACCAGCCTAGGACCACGCCACATAATAAAACATTCAAATGAGCTTTTTTGATTCTAGAACATTCTCTCTTCAGACAAGGAACACCACACTCTGTGGAAGAGAGGGTGCAATCCCTTCACGCACTGGAGCAGCCCAGCAGTGAGGGGAAAAGACGTCTCCAGACCTACCTTCATACATAAGCTTGGTCGAAAAATACTCGTCGGATTCTGACAGTGCCTCGTCTTTGTCCACCTCCAAGAGGCCCGAGAGCCGCGTGATGGACACCTCCAGGGAGCAGAGCGAGCCTGTCCGACAGTGCTCCGTTCCCGAAGGGGGCAGTATCTCAGCTCTCACATTATATAATGTCTGCGCAAGAAAGGGAGAGACAAGCACAAGTGTGTACACAACCGGAAGAGGCGCTACCCTAGGCCCAGGGGTGCTGCCCACAGACATGAGAGAGGGACAGAGGGGCCGGGCCGGCCGGAAGAGCTGCTGGGTGCCGACCCTTTCCAAGCACGCACAACAGCAGCAAGGACGGGCCCTCGCCCTCCGCACGCCTGTCACCCAGACTCAGGATTATCAATGTTTGGCTTCATTTGCTCTCTTTCTCTATGCATCAACACGTTATTTCTCTGCCCGGGGCATTGATGGCAAATTCCGGAGAACCTGTGGCTTCACCCCTCTGTACCTAGAAACATGAACATCCTCCTACAAACACGAAGCCAGAACCACAACGAGCGAAGGTCACACTCCTTCCCTGCTACTGTGCAGTATCATAACCACCTTTGGCCAAACGTTCCTTTCTCCACGGTGACCTCTTCACCCAACGGCCTCACCTACTCACACCTGCCCGACACCCTCACCACCTGGGACAAACAAGACCCAAGCCTGCCCAGGGGCGGGTGGCCTCACCCACCCCACATGCTGGCAGGTCTACTTTGAAAGGAAAGCCTTCTTTCTTCAGGATCCTGTGAGAGTGTAGCTCAGCAGGCTCCTGTTGTCGCTGCCTCGGCATCCACCTTGCTGGCCCAGCAGCCTGTGGGGTGTGTGAGGGGCCGCCCTGCATGGACGCCGGCCCTCATGCAAGCACATGCCCTAGACACCAGCCACACCATCACAAGCAAATGTAAGCTCCTGACAGGGTTTCCCCAGTGCACCCTTGTGATCCACAGCCCCCGCCACCCCACCCCCAGCACCTTCCCCTATGTGCCGCTTAGATGAGAGCCCCGTGGGGCTACCAGAACCCACAGTCGTGGTTTGAACTGACCAGTCCAGCTGGAGCCCGGGAACCCCAGAGCCCTCCAACCACAGACCGTGATAAAGACACATGGCCCACGTCTGCACTCTGCCCTCACCTCTCCGTGCGGCCCCTCAAGGCATGCCATGTACTTCCGCTGGGACCTACGAGTATTAAACTTCTCTTTTTCAATTTCTCGTGGTCTTTTGTCGAACCAGGGCTTACCACCCGGCACTCTGCGCTTCACGTAACAAGTGCTGATTTACTAAAGTCATAACATAAGCTTGGACACATGGACACGGGAAATAATTATAGCACAGCTCGATTCAAAAGTATTCTGCTGGTATTATAAAATGTTCAAAGAAAAGAGACTTTAGAATTTTAAAAAGCCTATTGCCAAAATAAAACACTTTCCTGGGAGTTAACGAGGCTAAACAGTAGTCCTAGATGGGCCTTGCTCAGTGGTTTCTCCAGGCAAATACCCCAAGGCACCTGTTTGGGAGTGGCACAGACTTCTACAGATCTGAAGGGAGCCCCCCCACCAGGGTCCTCTGTGGCCTTCCAAGGCCAAGGGCATAAAGGCGGCCGGGTATGCAACCCCAGGCCAGAGCAGAGGCCTCCGTGTGGCGGGGAATGGAGATGGCAAGCAGCAGGGGAAGGAGCAGCGGGGGCTGACGGAACAGCTTCCTGCTCCCACAAAGCCCCCCAGCCAGGAGAACGCAGTCTGGGAGGTTAGCGAGCTCAGCCGAGGAAGAGTGAGCTTTGCTTAGAGCTCAGAAGGGAGCCCAGAGACAGAATGATGTAGGGAAGTGTGCTCCTAAGTGCATGTCCTCGAACACTGCCTTCTGACGGCTGTGGGATGGAGGAGCGTGGCTGGGGTGGGGGGAAGCACTGGACTGGAAGTTAGCAGTGAGGTGCCTCCCCACCTGACAGCAGCTGTCGGCACCTAGAAACAAATTCTAACACGGAAGGCCAACTGATTTCAACAAGGATGCCGAGGCCAGCCACCGGGGAAAGAACAGTGTAAAGCGGTACAGGGACACCGGAATAGCCACACGGGAAGAATGAATTTGGACCCCACATCTCACCACACACAAAAGTGAACCCAAGGGAGATCACGGACCTAAACGTAGAAAGTATAAAACTCTTAGAAGAAAACACAGGAGGCGATCTTTCTGATCTTAGGATAAGCAATGATCTCTTAGATCCTACACCCAAAATACAAGCAATAAAAGCAATTGATAAGGTGGACTTCATCAAAGTGAAAAACTTTTGTGGTTCAAAGGACACCATGGAGAAAGGGACAACACAAGCCACAGAATGGGAGGAGACGCCTGCAAACTGCATCTAAGACAAGGGACGGCCGTCGGGACTATATAAAGAACCTTACAACTCTCGAATAGAAAGACAACCCTACATATTTAAAAAACGGGCAAAGGACAGGTACAGACACCTTTCCAAAGAAGATGTGCAAGCGGCCAACAACTACCTGAAAGGTGCCCGGCATCACTGGCCATCAGGGAAACGCCCATCCAAACCACGATGACAGGCACCTCGCGCCTGCTGGGGCACTGGAAGCGGAAGACGCTGAGGACAAAGGGAGACCTCACATGTCGCCGGGGGGGGCGGGGGGGCGTGTAAAGTGACGGCCCTTTGGAAAACAGAGCAGCGCCTTCTCAAAAAGTTAAACAGAGTTCCCATATGGCCTGGCAAGTCCACCCAGATTCTCACCCAAGAGAACTGAACACAGAGAACTCGCCCAGCGATTCCCACAGCATTAGTATTCACGACAGCCCCACGGGGAAGAGAGCCCGGATGGCAGCCACTGAGACATGGCAAGGAAAATGGGGTCCATGCCACACCATGGACGACTATTCAGCCATAAAAAGGAGTGAAGTCTGGTATGCGCCACGTTCACTCACGAGCCCTGGAAACAGGGTGCCAGGGGGAAGAAGCCAGTCTCAAAAGGCACCCACGTCCAATGCCCCTGGTTACACGCCATGTTCACAACAGGCCAGTCTGCAGGCTGATCTGCCCTTGGGTTAGCGGTCGCCTAGGCCTGGGATGAGGCAGGCGTGGGGGGTGACTGGGAGCGGGGCAGAAGGTTTCTTTCTGGAATGATGAAAGTGTTCTAAAATAAGACCACGGGGATGGGTGGGTGCACAACTCTGTCGACAGACTAACTGCTCTGAAGTGGACACTTCAAGTGGCTGAAGTGCGTGGCATGTAAGCGATGTAACTCAATAAAGCTTTCCCGGGAGAAGTTGGCGTCTCTATTTCCGGCCCTCAGAGATGACCAGTTTTCAAACAGCCATCCAGCAGGCAGGTTTCTTCACTCAGTTTGCAGTTAGAAAGAAAATCGTTATCTGTGCTCTTGAAGAGGAAGCAGACCAGACCGGGAAGGAGCCATGAAGCCGCCAGCGCTCTAATAATCGCTGGCCGGCTGCGAGCAAACCAGACGAACTGTACGCAGGCTCCGGCGCACGAACGGTTTCACGTGGCACAGCTGGGAGCACGTCGGAAAGCCATGTGTGCACGCTACAGAAAGATCACGCTGCTGAGTATGCTGGAGCCTACGGCTGGTCCGAGAGAGGGGCAGAGCGGGGGGCTGGGAGGAGATACTGAAGGAACCACTAATGTCAAGAGCTATAAACACAAACACATCTGCAAGTGTTGTTGGACGATTCCGGTAGTAAAGAGAAGGAATGGAAACACCAGAAAATTGTGTACTTACATACTGATTTACCTGGCACAAAATCCAAGTCTCACCGAAGAAACGAAAACACAAGTGCCTCCCCCCACCCAGCTCAAGGCCACCTCCAGCTCCACACGTGTACGCAGGTTATAGGACAGTCTTCACCATACGGAGTCAGTAGGTTTCTACTAACAGTTTCCGTTTTTCTTTTAAAAAGAAAGCCCCTTGGGGCACCGGGGTGGCTCAGTGGGTGAAGCGACTGCCTTCGGCTCAGGTCGTGATCCCAGGGTCCTGGGATCGAGCCCCGCGTCGGGCTCCCCACTCGGCGGGGAGTCTGCTTCTCCCTCTGCCCCTCCCCCCGCTCGTGCTCTTGCTTACTCTCCCTCTCTCAAATAAGTAAATAAAATCTTAAAAAAAAAAAAAATAAAAAGAAAGCCCCTTGATAAAGTAACCCTGAGTAGCAGGCAGCACCGGGATGAGCACACTCTCAATGTAAGCAAGAGAAAGGGGAGCAGAGCCCCCGAGTCTTCACTCTTTACACTCATCTTATGGCCACCGGCAAGACTGCAGGAGTGCCAGACCCGACACCCGAGAAGGGCCTGGGTGTCTAGGGTACAAGCAGCGAACGACTGAGCTGCCCCAAACGTTAAGTATTTTCCTGGATCTGTGGCTTCATTATACTGAAGGTTTTTCTCTACCTGATTTTTTAGATTAAAAGGAGTATGATGCCACCTTTCATGTCCCCCCCAACACCCCCACCAAAAAATAATACGATACATACAAAAAAATTTTCCACTTGAAATTCGTAAGTGTACGGCTTTAAGGGGATAGACAGCTGTCCTTCAGAAGCCGGGGAGAATCCAACGGAGAACTGGCAGTGCAGAGAAGGCGGGGGCTCCCGCGCCCACTTGAGCTCCCACACAAAGAACACGGATTGCTTGCTGTGGGTGTGCTGCAAGGACAGTCGCTGTCACCGCGCGCAGCCAGCCCCCAGCCCCGCCAACCCCGAGCTGCACTACCACCCGACCGCCACCACCCTGCCTGCACGCTGCCCCGCGGTCCTGTGGCCCCAGCCCCGCCCGGGGCCCTCCTGCCCGTCTCGCCCTGAGAGTAGGACCAGTCTGATTCTTCTCCAGATACGGGTATCATTCTATCCCTACTCCACCCACCATGCTGCTCAGTGCCCAACATGAAACACAAACACGCGTGTCGCGGTTCCCAAGCACTCGGGGATGCGCTCGCGCTGTCCGCTTATCACCAGGGAGGCCAGTCTCTGTGTGGCAAGGCTCCCTCTACAAACACGGTGTTTTCCTCAGAACCTTCTGGTCACTCCGGCGTCACACTCCCGCTCCCACTCTGTTTTCTGCGGAGGGCCTTCTGCTCGATTCTGGAGAAGGGTTACCTGCGGGGACTTGGCGTTCAGCGGCACCAGCTGCAGGTCAGCACTTCCGGGATCCACAAGGTTACCGTCGGACAGCTGAAAGTCAAGTTCTGACAAATTCTGGACGCACACTTGAATGTACTTCCTAAAGCAGAGCAAGAGAAAACAGGATTTTGAAACTTAAGAACTTCATTAAATGTGTTTTGGTTAAGAAGGCCCTCTCTGGGGAACTTTTTGAAAAGTGACGCGGCAAAATAAGAACCAGTCGCTACCTGCATTTCTACTTCCAATCTCACACGGGAAAGCACCCCGAGACCAAATCTCCCCAAGCAAGCTATTTCTAAGGAAAAATGGATCAAAGAATGCTCTGTTCCTGACCCAGTGTTACAATGTGATCATAACTGGCTCGCAGTAGGTGAGGACGGAGAGAGTGACCACTCCTCCCGTAGAGACTATGAGCAAGAGTTCCCATCCCTCCCTGTCACACAGGGAGAGGAGTCTGAAAGAAAGCACCCCAACTTCTGTTTGGAAGTGCTGGTGTCTTTAGCCATTAATATGTGCAGTCCCCTCCCTGTAACGGGAAGGGCAAGAAAGCAAAACTGCTCATGTAATGTCCACTCGAAATACAGTTCTGACATTTTGGTGATCAGTTTATGCAAATATCATCAACAGATGACAGCAAAAGGAATTTTACAGTGAGAGGCCACACTCCGCCCTGAGCCCAGGGGTCCGGGCGCACACCAGCACTAACAGTGGGACAAGCACGAAGCACAGGGCCCCACCTCCAAACTGTCTCGTCCAAAGGCTGACTCAGACTCTAATGCAGCTTCTAGAGCACTGAGTGCCTCTCAACCGGAGGCAGTTCTGCCCCTGCGGGTGACATCATGCAACATCTCAAGACAGACTTTTGGTTGTCACAAGGGGGTTGGGGGGAATGGGGAGTGCTACCGGCCTAAGACCAGGGAGTCAGGGGTGCTGCTAAACACCCTACGGTTCGAAGGACTGCCCCCCCGGCCCCACAAACAAGAAGGAGTTCTCAGACCCAAAGCGTCAGCAGTGCTGAGGCTGAAGAACCCCACCCCAGAAGTAACCGGCAGCCAGCAGAGGAACGAGTTACACAAACCCACAGAAATGCGACCAAATTCAGAACGGTGGGCCTTCTTTCTGGAGGAAAACTGAACCAAGTTCAGCAATGGGTCACTGGCTTGAGAAACAGGAGGAGAGATGAAAAAGGATCTAGTCATCAAACAGGGACTTGGTTTGGATCCCACATCCTACAAACCAACTGCACACAGTCATTTCTGAGACCGCTGGGGACACCTGACTCTGGTCGGGGAATCACTGAGAACCCGTACAAGCGGCCGACAGCATCACGGCTGCGTAAGAAAGCACGCTCAACGTCACTGAGGACGCGCTCTGAGCAGCAAGGTCTGCACGCAGGACAGCGTGGCCCAGGAGCAGGGCCCGGAGCCCGCCTTTACCGTGTCCCGGCTGACAAAAGCGAGTGTGTGGTCCGGAAGGGCAGGCTGAAGGTCAGAGCGATGACGGTGGAATAGATGGACCACGGGCAGTCAATGGACACCTGAGGAGAAACACAGGGATGCGCCTTCAGACCCCTCGCCCGACCACAGCCACCACCACACCGTCCACCCAGGTCAGCAGTGGCTGCCGATTTCCTAGACGGGGGATGGCCTTACCACTTCTTACTCAGAAAGCAAATCCCCACTAATCACATGCACAAACAAAGGGGAAACATAAAGCTACGTACACAGACAAGAAAAATAAACATGGAAGTGGCCGGATGGCCGCGAGACTCCAGAACAGTCTCGGAGGCTCCAGAGCAGATGCGGTGGCCAGCAGCCCCAGCACCCCCTCGGGCTTCCCACACCGACGTGGCCATGACGCCAGACGTGTTTTCTAACACTGCAGGAGGTGGTGACAAAGTGCTTTTAGTCGCTCTGTCACAATGACATGAGTAATCATTAACTATTAACAAAATTAAAGGAATTATCCAAACACTCCACACGACAACGAATACGTAAGAGAAGAGCAAGCACTCTGGGGGTCGAGTGTGGGCCAAGCTACTAACGCTCCTAAGGACACAGGCCGTGCCTCCAGCTTCCTTCCATGTCCCCCACGGGAAAAATGAACACACCGAGCACAGACACGCGCTCATCCAGCACTGGTTTTGTGCTCATGCTGAAGGAAGTATCATCTTTGCCTCCTCAATTGTTACCAGATAAGGAAAAAAGAAATTTTAAGGAATGAAAATTAAAATGTTATCCCTTAGGTGCTGGCTGGTCTGATGTTCTATGCCATAACCTCTTTGCAATGACTGTTAGCCTTTTATCCTGTTTTTGTGCATGCATGTCTTTTTTTTTTTTTTTTAAATGATTCAACTAATTTAAACTAAAAAACAAAAACAAGCAAAAAAACAAAGCACAACAAAACAGTTCACCCTTTTCTCCTAGCGCCCACCCCCACCCCTGCCCTGGGGCACCCACCAGTCTGCTCTATCTATCTAGGAACTTGACTTATAATTATTTTAGATTCCACATGTAAGAGAGATCAAATTGTATTTGTCTTTCTCTGACTTATTTCCCCTAGCAAAATGCCTTCCAGGTCCATCCATATTGTTGCAAATGGTAAGATTTCCTTCTTTTTTATGGTGAATAATATTCCATGTGAACACAGACAATGTTTTCAGATCCATTCATCCATCCATGAACACTTAGGTGGTTTCCATGACTTGGCTGTAGCAAATGATGCTGCGGTAACAGGGGGGTGCAGACAGTTTTTCAAGTAACTGCTTTCATTTTCTTTGGGTAAATACGTAGTGGGCAGATTGCTGGGTCATAGGGTAGTTCTATTTTTAATGTTCTGAGGAACCCCCGTACTGTTTTCCAGAGTGGCTGCACCAGTCTGCATTCCCACCAGCAGTGCAGGAGGCTTCCCCTTTCTCCGCATCCTCCCAACCTGATTAGTGATGTCGAACACCTGTATGTATTCTCTGGAAAAATATTCAGATCTTCTGCACATGCTTTAATCAGACTGGGGGGAGGGTTGCTGCTGAGTTGTAGGAGTCCTTTATATATTTTAGGTATTAACACCTCATCAAACATATGATTTGCAAGTATTTTCTCCCATTCTGTAGGTTGTCTTTTCATTTTGTTTATGGTCTCCTTTGCTGTGCAGGAGCTTTTAGGTTGATGTAGTCCCAACTGTTTATTTTTGCTTTTGTTGTCAGATCCATAAAATCATTGCCAAGACCAGTTTCAAGGAGCTTAGCACCTATGTTTTCTTCCAGGAACTTTATGGTTTCAGGTCTTACCTTCTAGCTTTTAATCCAGTTTAACTTTTTTTGGACAGTTTAGGACAAGGATCCAGCCTTGTTCTTTTGCATGTGGCTGTCCAGTTTTCCAAATACCATTTATTTGAGGACACTGTCCTTTCTCCATTACACATTCCTGGCTCCTCTGTCGTAAATTAATTGACCAAATATATGTGGATTTATTTCTGGGCTCTGTATTCTGCCCCACTGATCTGCGTATCGGCTTTTATGCCGCTACCATAGTGTTTTGATAACTACAGCTTTGTAACAAGTTTGAAGTCAGGAAGCACAATACCTCCCGCTTTGTTCTTTCTCAAGGCTGCTTTGGCTGTTTGGGGTCTCTTGTGGTTTCATACAGATTTTAGGATTATTTGCTCTATTTCTACGAAAAATGCCATTGGAATTTTAATAGGGATTACACTAAATCTATATATTGCTGGGTAGTATGGACATTTTAACAATATTAAATCTTTCACTCCATGAGCACAGAATATCTTTCCATGTATTTGTGTCTTCTTCAATTTCTTTCATTAATGTCCTGTAGCTTTCAACATACACATCTTTCACCTCCTTGGTTAAGTTTATTCCTACGTACTTTATTCTTTTTGATGCAGTTACACATTGAATTGTTTGATTTCTCTTTCTGATAGTTCATTAGTATATAGAAACACAACAGATTTCTACATATTTATTTTGTATCCTGCACCTTTACAGAATTTATTTACTCTTAAGTTTTTTGATGAAGTCTTTAGGACTTTACACATAACATTATGTTATCTGCAAATAGTGACATTTTACTTCTTTCCTTCCAATTAGGATGCCTTTTATTTCTTTTTCTTGCCTAACTACTCTGGCAAGGACTTCCAGTACTATGTTGAATAAACGTGACAAGAGTGGGCATCCTTGTCTTATTCCTGATCTTAGAGGAAAAGCTTTCAGTTTTTCACCATTAAGCATGATATTAGCTGTGGGCTTGTCAGATACGGCCTTTATTATGCTGAGGTATGTTCCCTCTATATCCACTTCGTTGAGTTTTTATCATAAATGGATATTGAATTTGGCCAAATGCTTTTCCTAAGTCTACTGAGATGATCATACGATGTTCATCCTTCACTTTGCTACTGTGGTGTATCACCTTGATTTGTGACTGGCGAACCATCCTTACACCCCTGAAATAAAGCCCATTTGATCATGTGTATGATCCTTTTGGTGCATTGTTAAATTCGGTTTGCTAAGATGTTGTTGAGGATTTTGCTTGTATGTTCATCAGAGATACTGGCCTATAATGTTCTCTTCTTGTAGCATCCTTTTCTGGTTTGGGTATCAGGTTAACACTGGCCCTGGAAGAGTTCCCTCCTCTTCTGCTCTTTGGAAGAGTTTGAGAGGAACTAGTATTAATGAATTCTTCTTTGAACGTTGGATAGAGTTCACCAGTGAAGCCATCTGGTTGTCGTTTGTCGGGAGGTTTCTGATTATTGATTCAATCTCCTTTAGTAAGGAGACTAGTAATCAGTCTGTTCGGATTTTCTGTTTTATCATGATTCACTCTTGGCAGGTTGTATGTTCCTAGGAATTCATCCATTTCTTCTAGGTTGTTCAATTTGTTGGCATACAATCATCCATAGTAGTCTCTTAGGATCCTTTGTATTTCTGTGCTGTCAGCTGTAACATCTCTTTCATTTCTGATTTGGATCCTCTCTCTTTTTATCTCGGTGAGTTTAGCAAAAGGTTTGTCAATTTTATCTTTTCAAAGAACGAGCTCTTGGTTTCATTGATCATTTCTATTGTCTTTTTAGTCAAATTCATTTATTTCTGTTGTGATGTTTGTTAGTTCCTTCCTTCTACTAACTTTGGGCTTCGTTTGTTCTTCTCTTTCTAGTTCCTTAAGGTATAAAATGAGGTTGTTTGAGACTTTTCCTCTTTCTTGAAGTAGGCCTATTGCTATGAACTTCCCTCTTAGAATGGCTGTTGCTGCATTTCATAAATTCTGGTATGTTACATTTCCATTTTCATTTGCCTCAATGTATGCTTTGATTTCTCTTGATTTCTTCTTTTGGCCAACTGATTGCTCAGTAGCAGGTGGCTTAATCCCCACATATTTGTGAATTTTCCAGTTTTCTTCATGTAATTAATCTCTAGTTTCATATTGTTGGGGTCAGAAAAGATGCATGATGTGATTTCAACCCTCTTAAATTTGTTAAGACTTGTTTTGTGGCCTAATATACAATCTATCCTGGTGAAATGTCCCATGCACACTTGAATGTGTATTCTGCTGCTTTTGGATCAACATTCTGCAAATATCTGTTAAGTCCATCTGATCTAATGTGTCATTTAAGGCGTTTCCTTACTGATCTCCTGTCTGGATGATCTATCCATTGATATAAATGAGGTATTAAATTCCTCTTATTGTACTGCTGTCTGTTTCTCCCTTTAGGTCTGCTAATACTTGCTTTACATATTTAGGTGCTCCTGTGTTGGGTGCATAAATATCTACAAGTGTTATATCTTCTTGTGGGAATGATCTCACTATCCTTATGTTACACTCTCCTTTGTCTCTTGTTACAGTCTTTGCTTTAAAGTCTATTTTGTCTGATAAAGTATAGCTGCTCCGGATTTCTTTTGGTTCCTTTAGGTTTTCGTTTCACTTTGGTCTATGTGTGCCCTTATGTCAGAAGTGAGTCTCTTGTACGCAGTATATAGATGAGTCTTGATTTTTTTATCCATTCAGCCATTCCCTGTCTTTGGAGAATTTAGTCCACCTACATCTGAAGTAATTATTGATAGGCATGTGCTTATTGCCACTTTTGCTAATTGTTTCCTGATGGTTTTTGTAGTTCCTCTCTATTCCTTTCTTCTTTTCTGCTTTCTTCCTTTGTGGTTTGATGACTTTCTTTGATGGTATGCTTATATTTCTTTATCTTTTGTATGTTTGCTACAGGTTTTTGCTTTGTGGCTACCGTGAGGCTTACATATAACAACTTATGTTTATAACAGTCTATTTTACATTGACCACTTAAGTTTCTAAATCTCAGCATTTTTACTCTCCCTCATCCCATCTGATATTTTTGATGTCACACTTAACATCTTTTTATCTGTGTATTCCTTAATTATTATAATCATAGTTATTTTTACCACCTATGTCTTTGAATCTTCACCCTAGCTTTAGAAGTGCTTAATCCGCTACTTTTACTATCTATTTTACCTTTTCAGTGAGATTTATTCTTTCCCATGTGTTCTTGTGACCACCCTTTCTTTTCAGCTTAAAGAACATTCCTTGTAAGGCCAGGTTAGTGGTGATGAACTCCTTTAGCTTTTGTTTCTCTGGAAAACACTTTATCTCTCCTTCACTTCTGAATGATCGTTTTGCCAGGTACCATATCTTGCTTAGAGATTTTTCCTTTCAGCACTTTGAATATATCGTGCCACTCCCTCTGGCCTGCAAAGTTTCTGCTAAAAATTCTGCTGACAGACTTAGGGGGGTTTCCTTGTACTTAATAAGCTGTTTTTCTCTTGCTGTTTTTTGTTTTTTTTTTAACCTCCTTCCCCCCCCTACCCCAACCCCATCTCCTGCTGCTTTTAAGATTCTCTTCTGGTCTTTTAATTTTTGACATGTAATCATAATATGTCTTGGTGGGGCGCCTGGGTGGTTCAGTCGTTAAGCGTCTGCCTTCAGCTCAGGTCATGATCCCAGGGTCCTGCTCAGCGGGAAGCCTGCTTCTCCCTCTCCCACTCCCCCTGCTTGTGTTCCCTCTCTCGCTATCTCTCTCTCTGTCAAATAAGTAAATAAAATCTTAAAACAAACAAACAAACAAACAATAATGTGTCTTGGTGTGGGTCTCTCTGGGTCCCTCTTATTTGAAACTCTCTGGGCTTCTTGGATCTGGACGTCTGTTTCCTTTCCCAGATTAGGGAAGGTTTTAGCCATTATTTCTTCAAGGAGATTTCTGACCTTTTCTCTCTCTCTTCTCCTTCTGGAAGCCCCATGATCCAAATATTATGTTGTTTCTTTGTTGTTGTCCTGTAAGCCCCTAAGCTGTCTTCGCTTTTTTTTTTTTTTTTCATTCTTTTTCCTTTTTGCTGCTCTGATTGACTGAGTTCCACGGCCTTGACGTTGAGCTGTCTGATCCTTTCTTCCGCTTCATCGAGGCTGCATTTTGGGTCAGCTACTGTAGTCTTCACCCTGTGACTTCTATCTGGTACATTCTATTTCCCATCTCTTTGTTGAAGTTCTGTGTCCATACGTTCTCCCATTTGATGAGCATCTTCATGAGCATTACTTTGAACTCCTTTATCAGGTAAATTTCTTATTAATCTCCATTTCATTAAGTTTT